CCATTGTCGTAAACAAAAGACAAAAAGTGAAAATAGTTTTGCCATACGAAAAACGAGTCATCTCGTAAATTATTTTTGACGCAAACAGTGACACGCGCCGATCAATGCTTTGCATTTTCCAACAGACTTTAAATAACTTCTGTCCAACTTTTACCTTTGCAGGTCATCGCAAATTATCACAAACTAAAAGTTATCAAGGTGATTTACTTTCAAACTCTTGCAAAGACAAGTTCTGTCATGCATTCGGATGGATTCATCCAATAACAATGTGAGCACAACTTTGGAATATTTCTTGGCCATCGTAAGCTAACATTCCTAATGCTGTATTTTCCGGATCACTTTTAGCGCCCAAAGTATAGCACGCATCTTTCACACTTCAAGATCTTAGGTGGAGAAAGCCTTACCTTACATCGCGCCAGTACGATATTTACTCGCCGACTCTCTTCTTTGTTGCCGATCAGAGTCAGTGGATATTCATTTAAACACACAGATTGCGAATTAACAATAACCCCTGTGATTGACTATCAAAGAGATTTTGAGATTAACTTTTTACCCTTTCTTGTATCTTGTATTTGTAACAAAATATAATCACTTTTTTGTTGTTAAATCGCTCGGAGAAATATTATTGCAAAGCAAACTATATGGATTACAAGAAATCATGCTATCTCCAATCTCATTTTTGCCGAAGTACTTTGTCCACGTCATTCTATCCGTACACGCTACATTTACCAGCAATCTGTTTATTGTATTGCGTCTAATAATATCAGTACCAGATAATTCGTTAATAATTTTTAAAATCTGTTAGATTTTCAAGTTTCACTTTTGGACTACCTCGAAACGACCACAAAACTTTTCGTTGTCTTGGTTATTAGTTGATACTATGTATACATTTTTTAACTATTTTAATATCCACAAATACGATTGGAAAGATCTGTCACGTTTCCGTGTCCATGAATTAAGCTCAATCCCGCAAATAAAGGCGAAAAAAATGTAATTAATTTCACTGCCACAATCGTGCAACACCATATAATGTAACTGACATTTTTTCATTTTGTTTATGACACATGAATACAGAAAGGAGTCATAAACCTTGACAGCTATATTAATTCTGTTTATAATTCCAACTATAGTTTAATTTGAAAAATGTTTACTTTTTGCTCATTGCACATGTAAATATAGAGATTTATTAAAATTGGATTCTGAAATTTTCGTTTCACATTTTTTACGTGAAAAATATTCTGCTAAATAGATAATATGATATGCGAAATTTCTGAAATATTGGGACGGAATTCATTTTGAGCGTGAAATAAATGGGAAAAATGATAAATAAAGCTCCAAGTTGATCGTGCTATTGACTTCAGAGTCACATTGTTACAGTTATTGCGTTTGGATGCTATTGAAACGGTATATTTTCGCAAAAGCATTTATCGAAAAAGAACGTGCTTTGAACAATTGGGTGTCAGAACAATTGCGTTGGTGGCTGTTTTCCGAAAAGAAATAGTGAATGTCCGCACGAAAACTCAGAGAAAGTTTGCCGTCCGTCGACCGTCCAAGCACTTGGTCAATAGCGCCAACTAGATCTACCGTTGCAATTTAAAATTTCACCAACCATCTGTTATCCCGTAAGGTCGTGGCGCATTGCATGGCGTGCATCTTACTCATTCTCGCGATAAGAGGTCGACAGCGAGTAGTTATCCTTTATCGGCGTTGCTCATCTCGAGGCTTGTTGCTGTAAATCACCGCGGAGCTTCCGTCGCTTTCACTTGTAACACGACAAATTGTCGCCCCGCGATCGCCGTCCACGACGAAGCCATCGCGAGCGGACAGGCGCGCTGCCGATCAGCCCGAAGCACGGCGAGCATGTCGAGTTGTTTCTCGTCGAGCGTGCTCTATTGCGTCGCGAGTGGAGAATGCATAGCGCGAGTCAGGCCGCAAATTGGGAAAATCGTTACAGTCGATGGTGCCGCTGCGCGAGCTGCATCCTGCTCCGCGCCCGCGCTATTTCGCGTCACGCCTCCGGTTTTTCATTTTTCGTCGTTGCGAAAGCCCACGCTGACGTGACGCCTCGCGAGAGAACAGTCAAAGGCGAAAGCTCGCCGTTAGCGCGTGCAGGACGAGGAAAAATAGCTATAAGAGCGAACTGGTCGGAAAGTAACGCAAGCGAGGGGAAGGAAAAGGAGCGCCGAAAGAGGAAATAATTGCCCAGTAAACCGAGCTAACTATCTGCTTTGATGTAGGGTGTCGAACAAGGCGAGAGACACAAAGACCGCGCAGGCCGCAAGGCGACGAGTCGCGTCGTTAGAGAAACAAGGCCAAGTGCGTTGATAAGCAGATGCTCGAGTGCGAAGTCAAGTGAAAACAGAACTCCGAGAGTTAGACAAATGTTGTCGACGCCTCGAGATACCGTACACGGGAGCTAATAGAGTCGCGCGCGCAGACAGACAAAAGGGAATTTCAACGGCGAATCGATATCGCGGAAGTGTGACAGAAGAAAGAGAGGCAAATTCTCGCAACTAATACGGCCCACGGGATATAAAAGTGAGGCGTTGCATTTAAAAGAGACGTTCGGCTCGGTCGCGAACCTTCATGAATAGTGAATGAGAATGAGCGAGAGTAGAAATGGAGTCGCTAATCGTAAGTTTAAACGACGAGAGAGAGCGCGCACGCGTCTCGCCGAATAGAAGCGACTTTACCTAATGGCTTAAAAATCGTGACGTGGAAAATCATAATCCAGAAATGTTCTTGAATTAGATCGTGGCCGACAAGAATTTCGATTTGGTAACGAAAAATCTGTTTCGCTTATTTTTTTTTATTTCACGGTAATTTATACAACTGATCGTAAAGTACGCATTGAATTTATCACCGAAATTGGATTTTTATAGATGGCTTCCAGCTGCAGATATAATTTCATTTTCAAAGCGATAGCTAGTTCAAGAGATTTATATTGTTCGGGAAAATTACACTCAACTTCAGCAAAATGAAATTTAATTGTCTTGCAGTGCTATTAATTCCAAATTCAAAAGCATACGTCTTAATTCCGCAATCTCATTTACTCTTGTCCCTTTGCACACGTCTTTGAACAAAAACGGTTTCTCGCTGTGACTAACTTTGATCGTTGGATGGTGCACTCCGCAAACGACGTGTAATCTTCATCAAAAGCCAATACCAGTGGTTACATGGAGTGCGTACTTAATGTTTTCCCTCGTAGTGAGGCAGAGACGACAAGAAAATCTTCCGTCCTACAAAGTTTCTCAACCGACCGCAGTCTCGGATGGTAGCTCATCCCCTCCCCTCCTTCTCCCACGTGCGTCACAGTTAGGCCTATCGCTTTTGGCCCTCGAAGTCGCCTCAAAACCACTCTGACATTTACATTTACACACACACGCGCGCGCGCACGCGCACACACATACACACGCACACACATACATACGCGCGCGCGCACACGCACACGCACACACACATGCACGAAGCTAAAGCTCAACAGGTAGCTCTTTTCAGACAGACAGCGAAGACCGGCGCCCACTCGCTCTTCACCCCTTTTTCTCGGAGCGAGCATGTCGTTAGGTCGCTTTATCTTCCACCTTTGACATCGCTTTAGCACAACAGCTGAATCTTACTCAAACGAACGACAGCCAATTTTTATCGCGAGCGTGAGCCATAAATCCACGAATTGCGCGCCCAACTTTTTGTAAAATTCGCCGTAACCGCATGTTCGTGCCCCCCTCCCCCCTACCGCCCCATGTTAATTGACGAGGCAAGCGCGCAGCTGAAATTTACAATTCCGTGCTCGCGGCAATTACAGCGTCGGTCCCCCTGATTCGTAAACTACGAAAATTCCAGCACGCTCGTCTTTTATCTGTCCAACGCGCAGAAATGGAAATCTCGTTGCGCTGGGGCGAGTACGAGGAAAAATGATCCAACGACGCGCGCTGTAATTAATGCGGTCGTGCTTTAGGGGTAGCGCGGCGGCTAATTAAAACTTGGAGCGATTTATCTCGCGACGCGAGACCTGCACTGCAAGCTCTCTTGCGAGATCCGTCCGTCTGCCTGTCTGTCTCTCTGTCTGTCTATTTCTCTGTCTCTCTGTCTCTATCTCCCCCCCCCCCCCCCCATTCTTTCTGTGCACGGAGACGAGGTTAATGAAGATTTATAAACTGCTGAGTGCGCAGCGGCGTACAGTGCACTGAGAAAATACTATATCCTACCTTGTTTCGAGGTTATTATTTTTCATTTAAATCCAGGGAAGAAATTCCGAGATATGCTTCGCTTGTTTACGATGCTTGCAGTCAGCGCGTATAAATACTCGAGGGTTAAGTCGTTGCGAGCGCCGAGCGCGCGAATTTTCTGCTGCGCGGAGAAACGAGGGTGACTAAGCATCGTTGAAATCCCGCTTGAACTACGATCATTGCGCCTTTGCGGAAATTGAGTCGGCACAGAGTGTATTTCTCTTATTACTGGCATAAGAAGAGAACTTTCAAAAAATCTTGTGCCTGGACTCAAACAGCTTATCACGGGAAACGCACGGAGTTACGCTCTTGCTTACGATCTGAAAAGAAGGCGAAGCTTGCTTTCGAGATTTCTGCAATCCTTCCGTTCGCTTATTAAGCATTTTTAAAGCTGGACAAGATGCTCCGGGAAATGAAGCTTTTCGAGCTCTCGGCGGATTTCTCGAAATTGTCCGCGCCTTCGTACAAAGCTCATCACAAAGCAGGCAGATCGGGCGTGTATCGCAAAGAATTTGCAGAATTAGAATCCAAGACAGAATGCGCGTCGCAATTTATATTAGCCGTCGAAATGTCAACGCAATTAAACTGAAAATTGCAGTCCTGGCGCGCGAGATGCCGACGAGAATCGGGGTAATAAATAACGCAGGGCAAGAGCGAGCGCAAGCGCCTGTAGCAAGCCTAATGAGGAAATTTGCTTTGCCCGAATTGCTTCTCGCGACGGCTTCGTCGGCTGCGCCGGCTGCGCCGGCAAGGCGAATCCAATTGTGCGGCTTGTCACTCGCTTGATTTTATGCCCGCGATGTACTGGTGCTCTCGCTCTAAGAACTCTTGCGACTCCATGCTACGTAGGTAGTCCGAAAGCACGCCCGTGTGGATCGATGGCTTGCGAGGCTCTGCTGCGGGTTCTCGCGAGCTGTCCTGTTCACAATCGTTTCGGATGCTCGATTTTTATCTCGATAGCGATACTTTGCCACTGCGCGAAATCCAAATCGAAGGAGAAAACTTAAAATATACGAACTCTGAAGACGCGACAACTCCAAAGCTGTATATTCTCCGACGACGTTATTGAAAGTATACTTCGAGTAAACTCCAAAGTTAGTAGACTTTTCTTTTTTTAAATCACCTTTCAACGCGCCTTCGCATGAAAGTCACTAATACGATCCAATTTGCGAAGATATTACACACAGCCCTCTACCAACGTTACACAATCCTTTGAAACATTAAACTTTCTTTTTCCAATAAACTTGGAATATCATACGATCCCGCTTTCAAACTATTCTTTCATCAAAAAATATATATCTATAATAATCTCGTAAAAGGATTTCGAGTCTAAGAACTTTTCAAATATACGGAAATGTTTGCTCTACTGAATAATGCATCGCGAGTACTCTATGCATCGCGAGAAAAATAAACTGGTGGAAATACGAAGTGCAAAGCATACTTACCAAACTGGAAGCCAAGCTGCGGGAGGTTAGTTCGAAGTCTGGCTTTCCTGCAAGTGGACACACACGGACAAAAATACGTATGTTGAAACAAGCGTTTACAGGTCGCTAAATTCTACCCTCGTTCTCGAATATTTGTCGCACGCTCGCAAGCGTTCACACGGTGAAGAAGATGCAACAGAGAGAGAGAGGGAGAGAGAGAGAGAGAGAGAGGGGAAAAAAATTATGACAAGCAATCTGGTCCCCTTGCTGTCGTGCGTGGCAATGAGAAAAAAAAGAGTATCTAACCATTCTCTCAACGTCCGCCCCGCGACAAGATATCTTGTCCTGAAGCAATCTGATCTCAGCGGGTACCTGTCAGCTCCCTGACGTTCTATTCTATCTTTCGCGAGAAGACTCTTTGCTCGAACATTTTCAACTGTCATTTTTCAAGATCTTCTTATTCTTCTTTTCACGCCAAATGTAATATTTAAGCTGTCGCACTAACCATCCGTGATAAAATTTTCTTCGTCGTCGCTCGGGATATCGTCATCCACGGAAAAGTCGGCAAGAGGTGCGAGCTCGTCGTTGGTCAATGTCTGTTCGTCGTCGAAATTGGGTGCCGTGCGTATAACGCGAGTCCTGGAAGTGTCCATTGCGTCCTCGGCGACGTCCGATAAGTCGACGGGTGGCACTTCGGGATGACCGTTATCTCTGGGTGCAGTAGCGCGAAGTTCACGAGCCCTTGCCAACAGTTTTGCCACCTCCCCTTGAGACTGGCTTTGTGAAGAAGCTGCTGCTGCTGCTGCTGCTGCTGCTGGTGCTACTGCTATTGCCGGCTGCTCAATTTGATGCTCTTGCGAGATCGGAAGAGATGAGCTCAAGTTAGACTTTTGGAATGGTTATCGCTTTCGAAAGAAGAAAAAGTACGAGAGTTTTGGCTTATTAACTTTTTAAAGAGATAAACGAACGGGAGAAAGAGAGACTTATGTTTATGCCTCGCAAGTATTATTTAGAGTCGAGTATTGTAGGGACAGTAACGAAACGGTTTTTGTTAAAAAGTCAATAGAGCGTGCGGAGGTAAGAAACCATCGATAAAACGAAAAACCCTCACCTTCTCCTCGCGTCAATTTCACTTTGGCCCGTATCTCGGGCAATTCAGGCGCGTCACTGTCTTCGTCCGTCCGGAGGATCTTGTTCTTGTCTCTCTGCTGGTTGAGGCGTCTTAGGAGACAGGTCAGCTGGTCAATCAGGCCGTGCACGTAAAGCAAAATCGATTGGTTTCCGTCGCCTGCTGCCTGTCCGCTTTCCTTCTGCTCGGCCGCCATTCTCGCGGTGACTTTGAGAGCGTCCACGGCATCGGCCAATCGAGCCAACTTCAGCAGACTTTGCCCGCTTAGCAAGTGTCCGCGAAGCATCCACTTTTTACAGTCGACTGACTCAGCTCGCTCGATACACAAAGCCGCCGACTCGCGAGCTTTCGCGTACTCGCCCAGCTCGAATTGGCATCTACCGATGTCGTGGTGGAGCCATGCTTGGGCCACGGCTTCCTTCGGAGTCGGACGATCAACGGTTTGACGGGATCGACTGGCAGTCTTCTCTCGCGTCTTACTTTGGAGAGGTCTCCGACGAGTCGTTGCCAGACCCGCACGAGCGCACTCAAGTGTCCAAAGCTCAAGTGCACCTTGCCGATGAACTCCAGTGCCTTCACCATTGCCGTGATGTCGTTGTCGGTCCTCGCGCGGAATAACATTTTGGCGGCCAAATCGATCGCTCGGTCGTGCCTGCCCAGCGCCAACTGCTTCGTGCCGAGGTAAGCCAGCGCATCCACTTGATTTCGATTCGGCTCGTCCGTCAGCGACACCAAGCTCAACAGCCCCTCGCTGAGCTTGCGAACGGCTTCCGAATCGTGAGCTGCCTCGACGGCTTTCACCGTTGATCTCACGCGTCTGTTCAGCTGACGACGCATCGGCCGCGAGCGCAGCGCCCGCGGTGTAGTTACCGGGCTACTGATTCGCCAAAAATCTTCCCGAGCGTCGAGATACCTGTCGCGAGGACGACTCTCGTTTATCTCGGGTGACTAATGCGACCGACTATCGGTCGGCCGCAATCACGAACGTTATTGCGAAATTACGCTGCGCGTACGAGCAGTTTGTTTCGTTGGCGCGCGCAAGAGTCGGGAGGATTTATCGGCTCCAAGTTTTTACGCTTACGCGCCGCGGGGATTAATGACACAACGGATTCCGTGGACTCGGGAGTTCCTTTCTCAGCTGCGACCCAACGGTCTCGGAGTTTATTTGAAGGGGGGCGCGCACGTGCGGCGCGTGTTTCTCCCGACAGCGAGAACTCGTTGCTGTTCCCTATCGAACCTGCGACATCTCGAACCTATCGCGAATCACTTTCACAAACGACGTATTTATGCAAACCGCTCTCGCCTCGCGATTGTATCTGCGCGCGGAGGGCGGGAAATTGCCGCGGCAGCGCGCCACCGAAAAATCAATACCTCAAAATCCGCGGGATCTCCTGCACGGGATCCTGCGCCTCGGCGACAATCTCGCGAGCTCGCCTCGCCGCGGCCTCGGCGTCCAACACGGCGGCCTCCTGTCCGGGCACTCGCGCCTCCCTCAGCATTCTGCCGAGTCTTCTGCTGGGATTCGCCGCGCGCTGTATCGCCGCCTCGGCTCGTCTCGTGCCGACCGCGTGCATAGCTTGCCTCGGATATAATTTCGCCGCGCGGTGATACAGCACCAACGCCGACTCGTACTCGCCCCTGGGAAAATCATCCCCGCTGACTTTTCCCTTTCTCTATCTCGCGGCTGTTTCGCGATAACGAGAGCCCTCGTTCGGCCCGATATCGCGCGCGCTCGACCGAAATTACAAGGCTTCCTTCGATGCTCGTGTTAACTTTGCTAGAGAGAGAGAGAGAGAAGTTTCGCGAGTATAATCTTGTTACGCCTAAAGCTCGTGCAGTTTGCAGGCGGAAAACAAAGAACTTTTTTCCGAGCGGGGATGGCTTTATTATTAACTAAGGCTCAACCGGCTAGAAAAACGGAAAGTTTTATATCCCGAAGCTTTGTGGGAAGTTCGTTATAGCGTTAAACATTCTAGGGCTTCGTATTTATAAAAGTCTCGAGGACGAAGGCAGGAAGGCATTGGAAAGGTTTCGCCTTTCGACTTTTGCGCCCGTTTGAGTGCGTCAAGAGCTCTGTTGCTCCGAGAAAATGCCATTGTGTGCGGGCTTTTTTTTCTTCCCCGTCGAGTTGTTTTGCCGCACAGCTCGGGCATTTTTGAAACGAGACGCGAACAAAAGTCATTTTCACATTACAACGTGCGACGTGTTGACTTTACGACCAAGTGTCTCGTATAAAGCTTTCATACGAGGCGTCGCTAGACTAAATATCCGCGTAAACGAAACAGCAAGTCCCATTTATGTATCCTAACCTCAGCCACGTCCTTGAACGCTTAAAATTGTCGTTAGGCTGGGAGCCTGCAGAGCCTGCTTCCGTAAGATAAAAGGAAGAGAATCCTTGGCGAACGATTGCTCGAAAGTGAAAGCGAGCACTCACTTGAAGCACAATTGATCGGCCTCTTTGTGCAATTCGGCAGCTTCAGTCTTGAAGCGATTCGCGCGATTAGCGGGCAAGCTCCCGCCGCTGAAAACTCGCGCCTCGACCTCGCTGACGACTCGCCTGGGCGAGCCGAGTTCGCCACGCCATTCGTCGCGCAACACGGCGTCCGGGAGTCGGGCTATCTTGCTTGCCAGCATCGCAGCGGCCACGAGTCTATCGGCTGGCCCTCTGAAGTTGGATGCGAAACACTCGCAGCGCAGCGCGACGCGCTGTTCCGAGATCCGTCCTTGCGTCGAGATGAAAGCAGAGCAACGCTGTGACTCGCCGTTACAATGTTACAGTTTTTATTGGCGCTTTTCTTTTCGCGCTAACAATCGGCGTGGTCTTCGCAACGTGTAGACGCTTTACAAGTACGATCGGTGCAATCAGTCGTACACGGTAAAGTCGACGAGGCCGGGTATCCGCTTGCTGGGCGCGTACTTTTCGAGCAACGCGACCTCGGCGTCCCTTTCGACATTCGGCGGTCCCTTGGACTGCACGGTAGCCTTGAAAGCCACTCTTGGCTTGCTGTCCCTCGGTTTACATCCAGGCATCACGGACAGTCGTCTTTTGGCCGGCACGGCTTCCATTCCGCGCAGTAAGAGATCCATCTTGGGTTTCATCTCCACGCTCATCAGCGCGGATATGAGATTACGACGCGTCGCAATGGAATCCTCGTCGGTCACGTGGCTAAAGTCCATTTTCTCGATGAAAACTGCCGCGCGCTCGTAGAACTCCACCAGATGGTCAACTTGTAGCTTCGTGGCCAACTCCAACGCCTCCGCCGCTGCCTCCTGCGCTTCGGTCCGGTTGCCCTGTGCTACCTCGATGCGTAGCATGATGTGCTGAGCGTTCAAAGCGTAGTCCTCTTGATTCACCTCCAGGCTCAGGTCGCGTAGCTTCTTCGAGTAGAATCTTGGGATTGATAGCAACGTTTTCTTTCTGAATTGGCGCTTGAGTTCGAGCCGGAGACCATCGTTTCCGTCGAGAGATATCTCACCTGGCCATTTCATAGCGTCGAACCTGCAGGTAAAGTCGGCAAAGCTCGTGAAAAATCCAGAGAATCTCCAGCGGCCTCCTGGCGAGAGCCAGCCTCGTTCTGTAGATGTCGAAGGCACGCGGCCCATCTTGAAATCTCAGCCAGCAGATCTGCGAGTCGCGCGGCAGCTTGAGCTTGCCGCGCAGGCCCAGAATGACGCGGAAGTAGACGTTCTCCTGCGACGGATGCCTGATGCAGCGCAAGTCGCGTGGATCCAGATAAGCACGCGCCACCATGCGGTACAGCGCGTCGAGATATCGTCCTCGGTCGGGCAGGAGCTGCAGGGAGTACGCCTCGAATTTCTCTCTGGCTCGTTCGACTACCCTGTGGCGAAGGTCACTGCTGAGCGGCTGCTAACGCGTAGACGTACGCCCGGATAACGCGGAGCGGCCTACTGAAAGAAGAGGAAGTAGTTCCTTCTCTTCCTCGCGCTGTGTAGCTTTCTGAGGATGAACGTGGCCTCGTTCTTGGCGAGGCAGGCGCGGAACTGGAGCTCCTGTTGCAGCTTGAGCTTGTGGCCCTCGGACAGGCCCATCCGAGCGATCGCGCGAACGGCGTAGAGCGGTTTGCGGCTCCTCAGCGCCTCCTGCTGGCTATGCACGCGCCTCGTGCAGTCCTTGGCGGCGGCGCTCAGCAGGGCGCTGCCTCTCTTGTTGGCCGAGCGGAGCGCGCGGTGCTTCGGCAGCTCCTCGAGGAAGCTCTTGTCCGCCGCCGTCGCGCCCAAGTAGAACGACGCCATCGCCTGGTCGTGGCGCCTCAGCTGGCGGCGGACGTACGCCTCCGGCACGCTCGCCTTGAAGCGCGCCTGCTCCTCCTCCAAACCTTGCGCGCGCTCCTCGCTCATCGTTAGGTTGCGCCGCGCTGTACGTTTGCCCCCCCCCCCCCACCGAGTCGCGCGCGCACCACTTTTCGCGAGGCGTTCGTGGCCGACATTAAACTTTTGCAGTCCGCCTTGCGAAACGTGGAGCGTCGCGACGGGGATCCGCGCGCGTGAGCCGACGATCCACGTCGATCCGTCAGTCGCGAGCTCACCGCAAAAGAGAACCATTTTACGCTGGCAGTACCTTCGAATTCGTTCTCCTCCTCCTTTAATTTCTCCCTCATGTTCTTCCTGTGCTCGGTCAATTTGGCGATCCAGGGATGCAGCTGTACGAACATATCGCGCGGCAAGTTATCACCCAGGCAATCCTCGATCGTCTCGTTGGCCAATAACACGGCTGCCTGATAAGAGCGCCGGCGACGAGCACCCTGGTGCGCGTAAACGAGGCTCATGCAGAACTCGCCTATGTCGAACAGCGCCTCCATGCGCGTCCAGTTGGCGCCCAAGTGCTTCGAATCTAAATTCACGCGCTCGTTTAATTGCAAAACTTGCAGCGAGCTTGCAAGTTTCGAGTGTGCATTTCACTCGCAAAGTAAAATTTCTGGATGGTAGACAGCCAATCAATTAATCTTACTGACTAAACTATCGACCAACTGATTTAGTCTTGAGATTAATTTTTTAACGTTGCGCCTTTGCTCGCTACCGGAAAAACCAGAAAGATCGAAAAGCCGCGCTTCATGTTTGCAGATGAAGATGAATGGTATCCTCGCTCCAGATTAAAATCTTAATAGCAAAAGTCTTCGCACGGTTTAATCTTGTTCTTTCAATGCTCGCGCTTATCGGTAATGTTCAACTGCTAGATTTTTCGAAAATGCACGGACGAAAAGCCTTTCACTGGCGAATTATAGGCTTTAATTTTGAACGCGCGGAGAAAGGTATTCCCTTCAACATTTTTACGCTTCCTATTGATTCGTTTCATATTGGGAATGCGTGATTACATTGGAAATCAATAGTTACAGTATTTGCACATTGGCTGGATAATAGACTGATACCGTAAGCCGCTTGAAAAAAAATTCAATGGCACTTTGGAAAAAAGGAAGCGAGAGCAAGTGATAATGGATCTTTCGTAAGTGATGAAAACAAATGAATAGTGATTAAACGCGAGTTTGAATCTTATTCGACAAAACACTTTGTAATTGAAGTACATCGAACTGAATGTAGAGCAAAGACAGCGATAGCTCGAAGGACGAATCAATTGATAGGGAAGAGACAGCAAGAAAAGCAAGAAACACGAGGTTTTCTCGACGAGAATGCAGCAACCGCGAATAAAAAATGAGCTTCGAAACCATTAGTCGGGCTATAAAAGCCGAGAACTCGCCGCAGCTTTTTGCTCGAAACTGGCGTCGTCTCAAAAGCTTAGTCGATACTTTGACGCTCGATAGATGCCACGGAACCGATCGCTTCCGTTCGGTTAATTGCACTTGGCGCGCGCGTAGATAAATCTCCTTTTTCTTCGTGAAAAATTCATCAATGATTCGCGATGAAGCGGAAACTCAGCCATAACGACGGACGAGGTTAAGTAAATTCCTGCGCTACAGCATCCGCAGGCTTACCTAATTTCATGCATTTTTCAGCGATCTCGGCCGCTCGAGCGAACTGGCCGCTCCGCTTGAGGGCGACGCTGAGTCCGAGCAGGGTCCACAGATAATTCTCGTCGCCGAATGTGCTCGACTTCTCGTAGTAATGAATGCCCTTCAGATACTGACCGCACGTGGTGAATCGACGACCCCACTCGCGATAAAGCACTTGCGCGAGAAATAATTCCGGCTCCTGCGACGACATTTTTATCCACTTTTTTTCCTTTTTTTTATTATTCTTTTGCGTTGAGGTTACACGGGAATTTTTAAATATCGACTACGAAGCGGCGTGAAAATAGTTTCGAATCGCTTATCTCGACGACAGATAAGGACTGACATTACGTGTCAGAGAAATCGCGGGATAGCGAGGTTCGAGTTTCACGGGAAAATAGGGGAAAAACCACCGCCGGCGACGACAACGACGAGCTGGGCGATTTCCTCTTTCCGTTCCGCCTGTCCGCTCTCGAGGAAATCCACGCGATCTCTTTTGCGAACATATGTTCACTGAATTAGAATAAAAAGATCGCCTTTCCGTGCACGCGAGGCAGAATCAGGATCGTCGAGATATTCAAGAGATCACATAGCGCAAAGAAGCTGAACGCGCGGTATCCATTCTGTTTGCAGAATCTGCGAGGCACGCGAAGGAAGCGTCGGCAGCACGAAGAAGCGGCAACGACGATCAGGGAAGGAGGAAAGCATCGGGCAGCGGCGAAATCGCACCTATGAGCGGCGTCGTCATCGGGATGCGGTGATATGGCGCTTCTGTACAGGTTCGCGCAGCTGCCCGACCGCAGTGGCACTCGTGTGTTCTCGTTCGTCGTCACCCGTAGCGTGGTGCGCGACCCCGAGCGCGACGTCACCAGCAAGGAGCTCGTCTGCGGCTTCCAGCGATGGGCCGTCGCTTTCTCGCGCGGCGACAAGGTAAAAGCGCTCGCATATCCTCTTTTCACAGCCCGAGTCTTCTTATGATATACCACACGTCAATGAGATTCTAATCTTCTGCACCGAGGCAATCATTTCTTACACATATGTGTCATAGTTTTTTTATTGAACAAGGGTACTGACGGATGTATATGTAACGAAGTAAGGACATACTTTTCTTTATAATCCAGTACCTGTAAGCTTCTCTTTGCGATGTAAATACAGTAGATCAACACTCGAAATCTGTTTTACCTATTTTACTCTCAATCTGTGCCTCATACCTAGCTCTCTGCTGCCTCTTGACTTGCATTTTACCAAACGTAACTCTTGAACGAACCTGCCGTTTGACATCGTTTGCCTTTTGCTCTCCTTAGACTATATCACCTAGTAATGCAAATGACTTCTCACCTCTCGAGGATCAAGTATGCACACCAATGAGAAAAGAGATGTGATCGTTCTTATGGAAGCATACTTATTACTCGGCAAATATAATATTTCTAAACGTTACTTCAATCACTTTAACGGAATATTGCATTCCAAACGAGAGTAAGTTATTGAAGTACTGACTGAATGAAACTTGGGTTTTTCACGAAACTTTTCCCCTCTTCCATTGGTTCAATCAGCACTTCTATACTATACTTGACTATGAAACTACTGCACAAAACTTTCTCATGTTCTCCATAGTTTAGCTGCAACTTAATTCGCCTTCGACTTATATATAGCATCATGATGTCCTATATTTATACTCCCTCTACTCTCTGCGAACTTCTCTTTTTTCAAATTTTACGCTACTACCCGAAATGAAAAAAAAATCTACTTCATACTTGCATGAGCATTAAATCTCTCGCACTCGTATGAAAGTCTCTCTTCTCTTGCAAAGTAGACATTGGAATGTACTAGAAAACCAAAATTTTCTTATACTCGATCTTATCGAAATCAAAAAGAATAACAGAATAACCAACAGTGTGCAGTACGATTGGCAAAAGAAAAAAAAACAAAACAAAAACAAAAAAGAAACAAAAAACGAATGCAGTGGCCCAATGGAAAGCCTAATGGTTCTGAAAAGCCCAGCTAAAAAGATAAACCGTTAAGATATAAGGCAATAATAAAAAGTTTGTTCGTCGAAGGAAACATATCATACTGACACTGTGTTACTTCTGGTGGCAGAAGCGCGCCAGAAACAAACGTTCTGATTTTGACCGACAGATGCTGGGAGTCTATCTGGTGTGGCGCGGCGCGGCGCCAGGACTCAAGGTCTACGTGGACTTCACGTTCACTCTGTTGAATCGCGAACACTTCAGTGTCAACGAGGGGTTCAGCGGCAAGAGGGTCAAGTTCACTTACGAGGCGCCGGCCCAAGGCAACAGGAATTACATATCGATCTCAGATCTTTACACGAGGAATTTCGCCGATCCGAATGGCGAGTTTCAGCTTGAGCTTTCGATGGCCAACGTGCGCACCATCTTCAGCTGCGAGGTCGGCATTCCGGACGAGTCGTCTAACGCTGACGATGTTGATGTGCGCTTTTAATTTATGTGTTTTTCTCACTCTCTTCTATCCTTCCTTCTCGCTCTCTCTCTCTCTCTCTCTCTCTCTCTCTCGCTATCTATCTCTCACTCTTTCTTTCTCTGTCAACGCTTTGATTAGAATCAACGTCGACTGCATGCCTCGATTCGACTAGTTCACGCTGTTAAATTTACTATCTCTCACTCGAAGTTCGTTATTTGGTGAACTTTTTATGAAATTGAGAGTCTCTTTTCTCAATGTGATTTACTTGAAAGTGTTTTTTTTTTCTCGTCTGGATACCGAATTTGTTTTGTCCTGCATTGGAAGAATGTATTATACATCATTTATACGCTCTTAAATATTTTACATCGTATATTAAACCAAACTGTTTACAGTTAATGTCCGAATCGACAAAATGAAAATAACGTACTAACTCATACTTTGGAAAGATATTTTAAAAATTGATATGTAAATACAACCCTTTGAAATCAATGAGTTATTTCTGTGATCGACTGTTTGGATTTGGAATCACTCGTTTTAACTACTCAAAAGCATGGAACTGAAAACCGAATTAAATAAAAAAAGTAAAATGGCTGAATTAAAAGTTCGAGACTGTCATTCGTCAAAGTAATTAAAATGCATTACTCTATGTAATTCCAAATGATATATTTCGTTGTTTAATGTTCTTTATCTGTCCATTCTCTGATTTTTAACTGATTCTCTTTTTTGCTGTCGAATATCTGCCTCTCATTCTGTCTCCCTCGGGCGACTTTATTGAGCGTGCACCAAGAAAAAAGAAAAAAAAAAAGAAAAAACAAAGTAACGAGAAGGAAAATAAATTTCATAACTCCATCAAGTGCAGACTCGGTCCCGCGTACGCTTTCTCTTGCAACAATGACGGGCTCTCGCGTTCGGGCAGAGAATAATTAACGTGTATAATTTAGTTTCCCCTACATTACGCTTTTTCACACAATGAAATTCGCCAACGCGCGCACGCGACGCGCTGCGCAAATATTCAAGTGGACTCGCGAGTTCCGCGCGCTCATATAGATATACATATGTATATATATAGAGAGAGAGAGACTCGGTTCGACAATGGCCTCCTCGTGTATTTGCTCTCCGATAAACTCGTTGACCCCGGGGCGCGCAACTGTTTCTTTCGAGCGCGCAAGTCATTGTCTCGCGCGCGGAAAATTAATTAATTTGCCCGCGCGATCTCGCCTCGAGTGCGCTCTCGCTCGGGGAAACAGTTCGCCGAGCAGGTAATTGTCGGCATCGCGAGACTCGCGCGCGGTCCTACGTAGTCGCTCTTCCTCCTCCTCGGCCTCCTCCTGCCGCCCCCATCCAAGCGAGAGTCATCGATCCGCGGCAATTTCGGCGAGTCGAGCAGCGAACGACGGCGCGGGTCGCGTTCAAACTTGGCTCGCCGCCACACCGCCGCGACTACCCTTACGTTGACGAAAGATCCTCCCCTCAGAAACTACCCTCATATCCACTGGTAAAGGCGAGAAGAAGGGATCGCGAGCACTAAAGCCGGCTTTTTCTTTTGTTGCGCACAGTTACGACCTAAAGGTGGCTCGACGATGTTTCCCTCGGGTGGCCCGAAGGTCGACAAGATCGAGACGGAGTACTTTGCCTTCGGGGGATTCGACTGGAATCTGGTTGTGTATCCGCACGGCAACAAGGAGGATCGAGGCTCGATCGAGGGTGGCATGAGCTTCTATCTAGTTCGGATGACCGGCTTCGACCATCGCTGCCGAGTACGCTACATCGTCAGCTTAGGCGACGGCACGAAGCGCTTCGACTCCGGAGCTCTGGAGGACATCAACGACGCCGAGGGCCGCGGCTACGGCTGGCATCCGAAGATACGCTGGGCCGAGGTGGCGCACAAGAACGTGCTGAAGGTGAGCATCGAGATGCTGGAGGCCCGAACCATATCCGAGGTGCTGGTCCAAGCCTTGGGACCTGGCAGTCTACCCGCGACGCCCTGCTACGACAAGGAGAAGCAGGCCTGGGCGATCCGAGCCGACATGCACTCGACCACCGTGAGGCTGGGGCTCGTCTACAAGGACATACACAATGTGCCCAGGAACCATCTCAGGTGGGCTTTCCAGTTGACCAAATTAATGGCAGGACAAACGCGCGATTGACCTGTCGATCCGACACAGATACGTCAGTTGGACGGCATACCTGATACGCGCTGGGGAGTCCGCCACGGAGATAGTGAGCTTGCCGGGCGCGCCGTTCAGCCGCTACTATGCCCAGGAGAACGCGGACGAGGGCATCATCATGGAGACGTCGATCGGCGTGAACGACGTCAAGGGCGACGACTGCCCTTTCGTCACGGAGAAGGGCCAGATCCGCGTGCGCATCGAGTGGCTGGAGTCGCATCTGCTGTTCCAAGCCACTTATCACAAGTACGACGACGTCTGTCGGGTGCACAATCAGCAGATGCGACGCGAGATCGCTGCCCTTCAAGCCGAGAACTACAGCCTCGAGAGGCAGCTCTTCAGCTACCAGAAGAGCCTCGCCTACGCCCAGGCGCAGCAGCAGCAATCGGTTCGTTCGCACTTCTCTTTGTTGCGCCTTGTCCTCCTCGCTAGGCGTGCGTTTGCGGCGAGCGGTCGAGGCCGCGAACGCACTCGTGGCGAGGTCCGCGATTCGCGCCCCCGAACAAAAGCGCCAAACTTGCGTTGCAGGGCGACGAGGCCGAGGCGCCGTCGCATCCCGGCAGTCACCACCAGTCGAACCAGCACCAGAGCGCCCACCTGGAACGATCGGCGTCCACGGACACCGAATACGCCTGACGCGTAGATCGTCTCCTCGGTCATTTTCAGGCGTCGACCATCACGGTGCGACGCCAGCTACCAACCAGTCCGCAGCGACTGCAGCAGACGTACATACCGCGCAACATACCGCTCAACGATCCGCGCGTGCACGAGAACCTCGTCAACATGATGGATCGCCGTCTCAGTAACGTGCAGCTGATACTACAGCAGCGCTCGTCGCGCTCTAACTCCGCGCACAGTCAGACCTACGCGACCGACGACGACCACCAGCAACAGCAGCAGCAGCAGCAGCAGCAGCCTCGCGGTCGATCCGCATCCAATTACAACAGCAACGCCAGCGCCAGTCACAACAACTACTACTACCGCCAGGCGCAGATGGAGTTCAATAAGAGGAGACGGCCGACCTTCTGGGAGACGCTCACCGGTTTGGTCTGCTCTCTGGGAGCGTTGGCCACGAGGGCGGCCAAGATGGCTGCGGCGAGGCGTCAGGCCGCTGAGGTCCTATGATGTTGTCCGCGCGCTTTACACTGCGCGTCTACAAAGAAACGACGAGTTTGTATGAGATTACCAAGAAAGGGCGATTTTACCCCGCGCGCTTCATTACACCTCTCTCTCTCTCTCTCTCTCTCTCTCTCTCTCTCTCTCTCTCTCTCTCTCTCTCTCTTTCTCTTTCTCCCTCCCTCTCTCCCTCCCTCCCTCTCTCCAAATCTCTCTTATTGCGCACCGTCTTTCTCTTTCTGTATATCACTTATACATACACACATACACGGATATGCGTCCTTACATACCGACAACTGTGGAATGTATACATAATGAATTTGTTCGATAAACGCTGCGAGGCGATAACGATGAAGAGGAATGAGAAGCACACTTATACTGCAATGGCAAAACATTCAAATCAGGAATTGATTTCCAACACGATATTGGCTTGTTATGCAACTCTTATCCCCGTCAGTGTTTCTGTAATTTTAGGACAAATTATATGTAAATATAATGGTACGTATAAACAGTCGAACGATCTACTTGTCAATTCGCCGATCGACAGACATATCTTCGACTTTCTTTTTTCTTTTACCTTCTCGCCCGAATATAGTTGATTGATCATTCGTAGTTGCGTCGATGTAACTTTTTTAGAAAAACGAAATAATAAAAAAAAAAAAACAAAAGAAAAAAATAAGTCCGAATAACTTAATATGGGGGAAACTTGGTACGCTCAATTTAGGTTGTCATGTCATAGACGGAATATACAAATCTCAAAATGTAGCACCGATTTGGGCTAGACACCTCGAACTCGAATCGTTCTTGTTGCAAAACCCCTTTGGTTAGTCGATATTTTATCATGTATTTTTTCCTCGCGCTGTCTGTTTTTATATATATACACACGCATCTAGTTTTCTCTGCGACTTGAAAAGAAACGGTCGCTATAAATGCATATCCAATCATGAAAATTAAATAGAGAGATTATTATTATTATACTATATAATGTCTGCTCGACATTTTTTCAAAAAGTCTTAAAAAAACAACAACTAGGACAAACAAAAAATTTGAGATGAAAAAAAAAACTAAACTTGTATCTCACGAACATATATATATTATAAAATTCTTATATATGCATTTTTCTACGATTTCCTGCACTTGTTTCGATGAATGCATGTACGTCATTCTATAAAATCAATTAATATGCAAGGAGAACAATATTAAACTAATGGGACGAAGAAAGTAAACATATGTTTGAAAGGAGAAGAGTGAGAATATATTATTTATAGAAGAACGGGTACATCGATTATATTTTTATCAAGTAAGAAAAAGAAAAAGAAAGCAAAGATGAAGTAAACTACGTTTCTTGTTGTTAATAATTACAATAACTAAGCTGAAATCTTCCAAGTTTTATTGTGAATGAAAATAGAGAGAGGCGCGCAAAATCAATGCGGGCATTGTTTGAAGAGTAAAGCACAGAGAGAGAGAGAGAGAGAGAGAGAGAAAGTTAATTAACGACATTTGAAAAATCAGCGAGGGGAGGTCAATCGATTGACGAGACGGGTGCTGGAATGAAAACCACAATGGCGTTTGATTCTCGTTTGATTAAGTAGGTATGTGTACCGACATGCGCAAGGATTCAACATGTGCCACACACGCATACGCATATATATACTATATCTTCGCTGATGTCCGAGAACAAGATTTCTTTTCCTTTTCACAGAGAATAAAATCGTTTAGAGAAGTCTCTCGCGCTACTTTGGCTCTGTATACATACTTTGTATATAAAAAATATATGAAAGGATACAAAAAGAACAAAAAGAAATTGTAGATTGACTCGTCGTCCTAGCACATTCGTCTCTCATTGTTTTAATCTCGACGAATCGCCATGTTTGTATTATAATAAATATATGAATCATTCTTTTGGTTCGCAGTCTCTGAATGAAATAAGCGAGGACGAAAGAAAATAATTTTTCTCCAATTTATTAATGTTTATTATATATACAATATATAATTTATATCCCGATGAGATTGTCGATTTCATTGGACAGATTTTAAAAGAAAAAAAAATGATTCAAATAGTTGAAAATACCGTTAACTAAAGAATATAGAGTTGGTGTTATTATATAGTAGATTTAAATAGCGAGCAAGAGAACTATATCTTGGAAAAAAACGATCATATTTCTTTTTTGTCAATCTGAGTCTGATTACTTCTAATCTATGTGCTACTTTTATTGCGCTAAAACACTCGAAGAAGAGAAAAGCAACCGATATACAAAGATTCACTTCACAGATGTATACACGATCTGTTTATATTTTTTAACTAATTTTTCATATAATATTGATTGTACAATTTTTTCTATGTAACAACGTTTCTGCAAATGTACGCACACTCGATAATATCAGTAACTGTAAGCCGACATGTCTCAAAATACAATTATTCCAGCGACGATTCACGCCGACGCATATCTCCACACAGCAACGAACTCTCCGAGGCGAATGCATATACGCGCACCACTCGCTAGGCTAAATACGTAGAGAGTGTTTAACCTGTGCATCAGTAGAACTCTTATGGATGAGCTTCCGGCAGCGCGGACTCATCGGAACAAACCATCTCGCAGGAATCGCACCTGCACGATTCATTTTCGCACTCGAGCCAACATAAGACACAAACCCAAACGCTGTTCGATCTATAAGTAAGGGGGATATAGCCACGTCCACTCCAATCAATGATAGAAAGTTACAAAGCAAAAAACTATACAACCGATTTCGTCGACTGTTTTCCTTTTCTTTTTTCCTCGTCTTTCGCGACTATATACGGTGCATCCGCGCAGGCGCGTCCCGAATATACAATCACGGCGCCGAAGCAAATAACCAAATCATCGTCGCCGGCGGGCAAATGCAATTATTTATCCTCTCTACGTGCGGCGGCGCGCGAAAGGAACACACTGTTGCAGCACTGACAATCGCATTATTCGCCCGGCCGTTATGCACACTTTGTCGCGATTATCACAAGGAGTCTCGGCACGCGAACAACAACCAAGTGTCGTCGGGTCCTTCTTCAGCGACGCGATCTTCTTGCTTCGCGCGAGCCTACAAGCGACGGGCTTGCCATTTCATTGCTGATCTTCGCATCGCGCGTTCAACTTTAAGCTTTGGCTTCGGAATTCATTCTTCGGTGTACCGCCGCTCGATTCGATTCCACATTCTTCACTGTCGATCTTTGAATTAACCAATTCGGAGAGGAATCGGCCGGGGCGGTACAGAACAAACGGTCGCGGCTCCGTATCGCTATCTAAACCTCGACGCGGGTCGTTCTCCGAGACTCATCAGCTCCGAGCGAGTCCGTTACGAATTGCAAATCGCGAGAATCTCAAGAAAGAAATTCGTTGTGGAATCGGGAAAGATTCGAATAATCCGAATCGCCCACTGTGGGCAAGTCCGATGAGAGGGGAAACAGAGTAGGACGGAAGGAAGCGATATTTAGCATAAACAGCTCGCAAGGAGGTCGAATTGCAAATGAAAATTAGCCATTCTCCGTACACTCCAAACAATCGAGTTCGGTTATTGTGCGCGGGACCACGTTCTTCCTTTTGCCGGGTCCAATGTGAAATCTTTCAAAATTGATCGCGACGACGTTGATCTCGAGGCTGTTCAATGAAAATACACACAGAGACTTACGCAACAGGGTAAACAAAAAACATTAGGGAGAGAAAAAACAATTTCGAGCAACTTATAATCGCATATCTTTAGATAACGTAACTAGGAAAAAGTACGCGTAAGAAAAGAAATTCATCATTATAGAGAATATGTCTTCTATATTTGTGAAATTAACAGAGAACGCAATTGAAAATTGTCTAAATTTTATCGATTTCACGCTTCCGTTCTCAATTTCATTCTCGAAACTTGTACGATTTTCAAAGTCAAATGTCAACGGAACGCGGAGTGCGCGCAAACACGCATCGATTATTTTCGTAATATTCTTGGCCTCATCGACGAATCGTATATTAAAGAAAGGAAAGACACGGAAAGGCGCACCTCTAGGCGTTGGTAATTATTCGACGGAATGATTTTTCATCTGCATTCATCGCTAGCCCGAATCGTAGAGGTTGAAAAGGCAGTATTCTTTTGTTCTTGATGCACAAGCGCACACGAAAATAATCGACACAATTTGATTGCGCGTAAGAGCATTAAAGCGTCGCGCGCTCGTATGTAACACACTAATCACATGTACGGACACATTAGTAGTTTAAACAAACAAGCGTAATGCGTCTCCCTCGTGAGTTTTGAGACATTGTGTACTAATTACATTATTATACTTGTAAATCATCTGTGAGTCTGCCTCGTCTTTTATAAAGTTCTTGCTATATTCAACAAGACGGACTTTTCATTGTCTTCTACCCTCGCAAAACCCATTCATTTTGATATCTGCGCGGAGACTCGAACTAACACGACGGATACCTTGCCAAACGAAACGGAAGACTATACGAGGCAGCAGCAGTAGCAGCCACGTGAAAGCAGCGAAAGTAACATTGTTGCAATTTCCCGTTTTTTATCTCCTCCGAGGGATGGTCTAGGCAGCAGTGAAGGAAGGCAGCATTTCAAGTAGAATGTAAATAAGGCGCGCACAGCAGAGTGAAAGAGCGAGAGTAGTGCGCCGATGAAAATAACTTAGCGAAAAGACGTTTCCTGGCAGCCAACTTTTCGATGGACTGCGTCGTTGCTGCTCGAGGAGAAAGTTTGCGCATAGCGCGGTGACGCAGGCGGCGCACGTCCGAGACGCGTCAAAGCTAACGATCTTCAAACGCAGTCGGGAATGAGACGCGAAACGTGGGATTCGGCGAAACGACCCTCTCGCGGATATTCATCGGAAATCCGAGGCGGCACTCCTCCTCCCGGTTAATTTCCAATTCATCGCGCCTTTTTGAAATGCGATCCTACGAGGATTTCGCCTCGTGGGCTTCCCCCTTACGAGTACATACCTTTCGCTTCGTTTTCGAGCGCACGCTTTTACCTTCGCGAGTGCAATTTCGATGCAAATCATCGAGGGCTGATTTCGCTTTCAAGACGAGTACGCTCGATTCACTTGCGGAATCTAATGGCGACGATCAATTTTTTGCTCCGCGACGATAGGCGACTCGTTATTTTAACGAAGATTCATCTTTCGAGGTATTTTAACTTTTTAAATTCGAGTGAACTCTCCTTACCAGTATAGTTAATAGTTATTTATATCAGATATAAATTAACAAAGTTCAGAGAGTTATCTTCAAAACAATATCTCGCAATATCTTCGTTTCAGATAACGTTTCACCAGTCCGATGTTCACTCACTTCAAATCGTAACAAGAATGATAATCGATTACACGTTAATACTGATTAGTCTGAGAATATCAATTCTCAAGGCCAATTTAAATAACAGTGAATATATAATGATCAAACTTGTGCATATTGCGAGATCTGAAATATCATGGAATAGTGTTGTTATTGTTATGATCTAAAGTAGCTGGACCAAAATGTTATCCGAAATGAAGATGTAAGATTATTTTTTGAAAAGAGATACCTCTCTTAATTTTGTTAATTTGGTTTTCTTTTTATTTTATGATTTTGTGGAAAAAACAATTTCCTTCTGAATTCCACACCTCGGATGAATGCAATTTCTTTTTTGTGAACTTTATCCTGTGGTGTTACAATTTGTTGTCGAACATCTCCGCTGGCATATTATTGACGTATTATATATTTTCCGTGAATTAGAGCTAATGTCAATTAAATATTCACATTTATTTTACAAATACATTTACGTATTTATATTTTATATTTGTCAATTACGAGAATCGAAACTGATCAAATAAAAATCGTTTCAGTGATTATTATTATTATCCACAGATATGGATCTCACGTGGACGGCGAAAGAAAGAAACATTTGTGCGTAAAAAAGTGGATGGCTGGGGGGGAGGGTGACGATATCAAACGGAGTAAACTTCCAATAATCTATATCGCCATCGAGAGCCCTACAGCGAAATTTGCGTGATTGAAACGTCCGACTCGACGTGTACAGAATGCGTACGGTCGATTGATCTAGCACATCTCCTGTAATCGGGATGCGCTGCCTCGAGTATAACGGCGTGGAAGAGACTCTGCGGGATTTGACTCTCGGTCGAACTGTTGATATTCTCCGTCTCGATGTGCGCGCGCGTGTGTGTAGGCTTGATTGGCTCGGAGTCGGCACAAACAAACCAATTAATTTGACCAAAGCGGGGGGGATCGGCTCTAATCGGCGGTCGGTGCGGGATATTCATAACGCGCTCGTGATGAGGCTATTTTGAAACGAAGTCTTTTTCGAAGTACTATACTGCTTTTCGGATCCACTCACCGAGCGACAATCACGATTTAAACTGAAACGCGATAAGCGATATGTAGATATTTATCAGCTCGCTTTTTATTTCTTTATCGACGTGGAAACATTATCTTTGTGAGTTAATTTTTAAAAAATTAACCAAGTTTAATTTCAATTGATAGAGAACGTGCTTTATGGCGATTGAGGCCAATTAGAGGTAGATGCACAGTGGTCATGCACGTACATTATTAATGACTGCTGGCACAACAATCGAGTTCAAATGACTCAGATTTCGATTATTATATTTGATGTGATACCATAGCAGAGATAGAAAATGTTATGCAAGGCCGTAATATTTTGCAAAAATAATGTAATAAAATGTGATATTAAAGTGTTTACAGTCAACAAAATTGATAGCATTGTTCTGGCTTGCTACGCTACAGCGCGCGATGTGATATATCGAAATTAAAAGCACGAGACCTCACAAAGAGACGCTTTCTGAGAGTTCATCAATGACTATATATTCATTTTGAAGCCTTGAACTACGCAAACGGAATTCCAAAGAAAACTTGCGCACGTAATTTTTTTTTCTATCGGGTCAAGCGATGCGTAGTAATGTGCTTGCTTTCCATTTTCGTTTGGCGAGGAGAAAAATTTGCAATTCGTGCTTTTCGTAAAGTTGTAGAATTCGTTGGACACGTCTTCTCGATGAGATTATGGTTTTTAATTTCCTACATACTTTTACATCGAATTAAACTGCTGTCAAAATTTTTAGAAATTGAATGACCATTAGGATCAGTCACGAACGTCTAAACTTCAAAGTAATGCAAATAATTCTTATTCTTACGAGCCATCTATATGTTTTCATTCCTTTATATAATCGCATTAAAAATAATAGGTCTGAAATAAATGCTTGATGAAAGTGGATGTATTTTCGATATTAGGTAAGTGGGGCTCGAAAAAACCGAAATTTGCAGCACTCCATGTCCACGAGTTTCATGCGAAAATAGCGGCAATAACGTTTGGAAGAACGCTCCTACCGACCGTAGAGTCGCATTACAATTTTGCTACTATACTGCATTACAATATAACTTTCTATTGACATAGGTCAATTTACTGTCGGTTACGGATGTTCAATCGAAAGTTAACAGATCTATTTTGTTTTTCAATATGTTGAATGTTTAACTCAACGGCACGACATACTTATATGAATTTTTCAATATTTATTACCAAGTAAATTTCGATCAAAATTAATAAGTTTCAACGGTGAGCTTTGCTCATACATAATATTTACTATGAAAATCATACATAAGAAATTAATATGTGCACAAAAACTTGAGTTAGTAGATTATGCGAGGTGGTGTGCGTGGTGAGCGTGAGAGCCCTCCATGGAGAAGTTTCCATGGAACTCCCCCTGCCTTCCTCTTCCCACGTGGCAGCATTGAACATCCTTAAGCCGTTTATCGGTTATTAGCAAAGATAACTTTTAAACGGTATTTTTGCATAAAACCCACGAACATAGAGTGCAAATTTCAGAATCAGTTTTTTCAATCTCCATTTAGCCAATATCAAAAATGCATTCTGCATGCATGACTATTGTTCTAATTGTATTCAATTGTATGCAGGCAATGAAAATAGATGCACATCGATGCTATTAGTTTTATATCTGTACTTTAACTATTTTTAATTGCCTCCATTTTAATAAAAAAAATAGATCAGCTATACGATATGTGCAGTTATTTTGTCAATTTAATTGCATCTAAATGTGTAATACATACTAAAGAGAACGTTATAGCGTTATATTATTCATATAACAATTTTAATTAAACTTTTATCTTCGTACAATTAAGCGAGTATTCAAAATTTGAGACTCACGCGCGTCTTGTCGGTAAGGACAGCGCGTGCGCGCACGTGCGAAACGTAATATGACATGCAAGCACTTGCGAGTGTATAGGTGAAGTAACGTACATATATAAATATTTCGTCTGCCCCACCGCGAAATCGTCCGAGGTTACGTCCAACCGTACGCTCGATCCTTGTAGTCGATGCGAGAAAAAGCAACAGCCAAGTTGAAGGAAAAATTTAATCAAACGTCGGCCGAGATCTTTTGAAAAAAAAAAGTTATTTCACTTCTTTTTCCCTTGTTTCGGCTTTCATCTGGTGCTAGTGTGCTTTAACTCTAATCTTCGCGTTAAAGTGTCGTTGTACCTAACGTTACAACACACCTGTGTATGATTGAAGGACTTTATTTATTAAGCAAGAATTTCATCGTATCTTTCTCATACAACTTGCCTACGTCTAAATCGTTCTTCGCTGGTTGACTACGTGACACAGCATACGAAGACGTGATGCGGCAAAAAGAAAAGTTGTAAGGTCATTTGTACTCATATAAATGTAGTAGATATACTAAAGTGGCTAATTATGGCGATAATTGACTCTTGACGATAAATGAATGGCTAGAACAAGAGACAATAAAATTTTAAATTAACCAGTAGATCATTCAAGAACATTTTTGATTGAAGAATTGATACCAAACAGGCCTTAGCAATGAGTACAAAGCTTTCGCATAAACTAAGCAACAGGAAAATCCTAGTGGATATTTTAGCTCTTTTATTTGGGCTTGGAACATGGGTTGGAGTTAATGGAATTTATGTGCAACTACCACTACTGGTCAACAGTGCAATAGAAAAATGGAATCTGCCAGCTTACATGGTTTTGATAGTGCAATTTGCAAATTTAGGACCTATCCTGTACACTCTTTACGTTAAGTAAGTGATTTTGTTGTAAAATTTTGTTCAACAGTTTAATATAAATAACTATCCAGTAATATTGATTATCACATAATTATCATGTAATTTGTCTGACTCACTATTTTGGTATTTTAGGTACTTTGCACGTACAAAAGATCATTACATAATATATGGTCTGCTTGCTGTCGGATCATTATCACTTTTCCTTTTGGCATTTGTATATAACCAAACATCAGTAATTTTTGGGAACAAACATTCGTCAGCGCTACTATTTTTGATGTTCATTTTATCATTTGTGGGTTGTACCAGTTCTGTACTTTTTACACCTTACATGAGAAATTATAGAGAAATTTATTTGGTGTCTTACATTATTGGAGAAGGGTTGAGTGGATTTATTCCAAGTATAATAGCTTTGATTCAAGGTGTTGGAGGCAATCCACAGTGTCATAATGTTACCAAGCCAGGAGGGCCTCTGGAATTTACGACTCGATATCCAGATCCTAGATTTTCACCAACCATATTTTTCATTTTGTTAGGCATCTTGTTATTTGTATGTTTCTTAGCATTCATAGGATTAATGAAATTAAAAGTTGCTAGAGGAGAAAGAGTAAAATTACCAGCTAGTACGGAAACTCTTCCAACAGATTTGAATGCACCTCCTAGTTATAAAACTAATTCTGGTTGGAAAATGTCTAATCAAGTTTATGTTTACTTACTTGGTATGATGGCTGTCATTTGCTTACTCAACAATGGAATATTGCCAAGTATTCAATCCTACTCATGTCTACCATATGGTAATGTAGCTTATCATTTGACAGTCACTCTCTCTTCTATGGCTGGACCACTGGCTATGTGCTTAGGTTTTATAGTCCAAAATCCCAAAGTGAATTTATTATCAGAACTGATGGTAATCGTCTTGGGACTCGGTGCCCTTGTTTTCTACATTGCAGTGCAGTCTCCTTCACCGCCATGGCAATATTCATGGGTAGGCATATTCCTTGTTGTAACTGCATGGATATTAGTATTTGGGATCAGTGGTTTTGTAAAATTGGGAATCATCACTTTATTCCGGCCAGATCCAGGTAGAGGATTATATTATACAGGAGTTGCCACTCAGCTTGGCTCTTTGGTGGGAGCTATTACATCATTTATATTAGTCAATCATACAAAAATATTTCAATCATACTCTCCTTGCGATTCTTTAATGGGGAAATAATGTTTTGTGAATTTTGGTCATTTGGGTTGGATATATTATTTTTAGTTACTTAATATATTATCTAATTCTTTCAAATTACCTTTTTAAGATAAAAAATAAAAAATATTAATAGTTCAAACTTTCAATGGACAATAATTATGATTTATAGTTAAAAAATATTTACTTAATTAAGATGTAGCATCTTTCTATTTCATCTTAAAAAATCATTTCTAATTACATTTTTTCAGTTTTATACAGTTACCAGTAATTATTACTTACTATATGAAATTGTAAAGACATTTTATTTTGAATAATATTCTTAAGCCCTTCAATTTTTTAAAGCTGGAGCTGAATACATTTTTTCGTTTTACATATATCTTTTGTGATGTATATATATATATAATTCTTTACAAATTGTAGAGAAAAACGTTCCTAAGTCTTTGGATATGTTATGATTAACTAATATTAAATCATAATTACCAGTCTTAAATTGTATCATTACTACTTGCAATTATCAATACTAATATTTTATATAATTATTTTGCTGATGTACTACGCATACATGTACTGCGCTTATTCTTAATGATAACGAATTCTTTACGTAATAGCTCTCCAACTTCCTATTAGGATCGATATAAAAAACGTACTTAATTTAGTCAACAATGGACTCGCTTATTGTTAACATACTGGATATCACGATAAAGTTGAACAGTTTCAAATTGGCTATCATAAAATGCAAAATCAATCGAAAATATACAAGTTTTCATTTTGAAGCAATAACGTTTATTAAGATACTACTTACGAAAAATAAACGAAAAAAATGAAAGCAATTATTGCGCTTTCCGCTGAATAGTCTCGGCTCGTCAATCACGCACTCACTACAAAAGTCAGCCTGACGTATGTATTTTCAAAATACTCTTATCTCACCATGGGACGTCATTCTTTATTCACGAATTTGCACTTCGAGTGTTGTTACTTTACACCTGATTATCTGTAGTCAACTGTTCAAACAGCACAATGTCACAAGCGAAAGAGAAGCGTCTAGAAAGACCTGTTGGCGGATTCAGTGAAACAAATACCAGCATAGATAGTACTGAATTATCTAAGTAAGTAACTTAATGTAAAGAAAAATTCTTTTTATTTTCACATTACGGATACTAGATACATAATACCTTTATAATTCTTTCAATAAAATTTTCCATTCAATTTTATCTCAATTTATCGTGCAGTATCTTTAAAACTATATATGATTAATTTATTACTTTGTTAATTACAGTAACCAATACGAAAAACAAAGATTGATGCATGAATCTAGAGACATGCCTGTAACAGATAAGCCTATTCTTTTACAAAATCTTAGAAAATGCCAACCTAAATATTATTTATTAGTGCACATATTAATTATGATATTTGGAACATCTGCTTGGATTGGAGTTAATGGTATCTTTATTCAATTACCACTGCTAGTCAATACTGCACCAGAAAGTTGGAAATTAGCAACATACTTAGTAATAGCAGTTCAAGCAGCAAATATAGCACCTATAATTTATAGTTTATTTAGAAAATCTTCATGTAAATCTAATGAATTTTGTTGTATTTTGAGTAGTCTTGGTTTTGCTTCTGTGGTCATGGGTCTATTAGCCTTTTTCTATGATAAGACATCGAACATTAGTGGACAAGATCACAGTATAGTATTGATATTGTTGACATTCTTTACAGCTACTGTGAGTTGCACCAGTTCAGTTTTGTTTATGCCTTATCTCAGAAATTTTAAAGAGTGTTATCTGTTTTCTTATTTTATTGGAGAAGGGTTAAGTGGAGTTATGCCAAGTGTTATTGCTCTAATACAAGGTATCAATGAAACTTCCATATGCAATAATTCCACAAATAGTTTACAAGTTACAGTTGCTTCTCTTGCCAGATTTTCACCTCAAGATTATTTTTTATTTTTATTCTCTTGTTTGATTTTATCTACAATTGCCTTTGCTCTATTAGAAAATCTGTCCTTTATAAAAACAGAAAAAATGTCTTTTGAAATATCAGACCATAATTCTTCTAATGGTGAGACTGAAAATTGTCACTGTCGAAAACAAGTATCAGTATTATCCAAAAGCTCAATGGCTGACAATGATATATCAGAAAAGTACATTTGTGTAGATAATTATAAAACGACTGATGAAAGATCTTCAACAGTTTTTTATACAAAAAACATTAATGGAATTATTTTGACTGACTCATATTTGTATGCACTTCTCAGCATGATATGTTTGTTTGCAAATGGTTTTCTTCCCAGCTTGCAACCTTACTCATGCTTGTCATATGGTAACATGACTTACCATCTAAGTGCAACATTCTCACAAATATCAAACCCCAGTGTATGTCTTCTGGCAATGTGGTTTGTTACTTATAGCAGAAAAATTATCAACTGGCTATCGTTTTTTATATTTATCTTAAGCAGCTATGTCATGTATCTTGCTATATCATCACCAAATCCACCTTTAAAAAACTCAGATTTTGGTAAAGCTCTAGTAATTATGTTGTGGATATTATTAGTTGGCCTGATTTCTTATGTTAAGTTAATTATTACATCAGTATTCAGGAAAAAGTCTGAGAAGACACTTTTTCAAGTTGGTGTGGCAATGCAAGTAGGATCTGCTTGTGGTGCGGTTCTGTCATTTGTTATAATAAATTATACTGGCTGGCTTAGAGAATATAAATCGTGTAGTAGTTCATAAGTTTTATTTTTATTTATAGTGAAAATTGATATATTTTCAATGATTTCACAATTGATATTGTAAATAGACACTTTTGAGATACAAAAAATGTTGATTGAAATGTATTTCAGTTGTAAGTATCTTTTATTTATGTTAAGACTAGCTCAAAAAATTTATTTAAAAAATTTATTCAAAAACGAAAAATTAGCATTTTTTTGCCAGAATGTTACATAAAAATTTATTTTTCCAAATTCGTCGCGCAATAAGAAAATCAATTATAGAAACAATATGTTATTTGTAAACAAATATACTAAAATATTCATTCTGATATTATTTTACAAAAAATTGTACATAAAATAATTTATCAATGATTATCGGATTATATCAATGAAAAGTGGAAATCCAGACATTACATAAGAAAATATATGTAAATAATTGCGATGCATTGTATAGAAAAGTATTTGTACAGATTCAAGTTAAATATCTAAAAGCAAATGATTCCAAGTATAAAGCCTATATGAACTGTTATATGAGTGCATGGACTTGATGCATCAATTTATAAGCTGTTGAAAATGTTGATTTTTAAAATAAATTTCTTATGTTACATAAATAGAGTGATTGATTTACCAACATCTTGCTATAATTTATTTGATATAACTAGTATTATTTAGCGTATTTTGCGTTCTCTTTATTTTATGTTTTTCTGTTATTTATTACATTAATTGAACCTTTTACATGTCAACTTCGAGATTCTAATGGACATGAATAAGTCATGTTGTTTAAAATACATTAAGTTCATCAATATTCATTAATTGGGTCATTGATTATAATTGGATTATTATTAATGAATAAAAATAGACATTGCACCTATTTTTTCACAAAAACCGATGAACTTTTATTCATTTCAAGATAAATTGGAAACATTATCCAAAAGATTAATTCAACTTACGATTGATACAATGTACTAAGCTTTTATACGATATTAAACATTATATACTTAATAGTAGTGCTTACGGCTCGTCTTATATTAGATGAGTAATAAAATTTAACAACGTGTGCTTTTTATTACCTCGTTGAAAACACCCGTGAACATTCTTCAAATTTAATAGGTTGAATATTCTGATGATTAGTTTTTATTGCTCGCGTACCTCTTAATTTACAATGTACAAAAGATAAAAATGTATTTTCCTTTATTTTATTTTATTCACTTTCTCTTTCTACCAAATTTAAGACAATATTAATTTCAGGATTTCAGATGGTTATAACATCGATTCGTACTAATAATTTTAAAACATAACGTCTTATGTTCTCAAAACGATTTATTAACAGCATATTTTCATTCTTACAAATTACTATCCATGTTAGTTATTCATAAATTGAATTTACTGCTTAAACAAATCTCTCTCTTAAATATATAATAACAATATTTTAAAGCATACGTCAATTCAAAATTTCGCGCAATTTTTTCGCACCAACCATTCACAATAACGAGCAATGCGAAGTTGCGCCCTCCCCCCTATTTCCACGGGAAATTAGTAGCAAAAAAAGGAAAACGGAATTAATTGCCTTTGTTCTTGACATTGGTGCTAATTTCCTTTTTTCGATTACTTATTGGGAAACACGTGAAAATTCTAATGTTCTAATCTCCTATTATCTCGATGATTTATTGTTGAAGTTTTTCGGGCGTATCAAAATAAAAATTATTATTTCCCTCGCCATCCTTCCATTCACTATTTCAATAAATTGCATGGATTTTAAATAAAATAAATAACATTGTTCGACCTCTCGAATGGCGGGAAAACGAGCAATGAAAACAACGTCATTTCGCCAGCGCTACATAGGAAAGCAAAAACAAAGTGATATGCATTAAATATTATTGATAGAATAAATGTTAAATACATGTGAAACCATCATTTTTACGGTACGTTAATGTATATGATGAATAACGGAGTTGCAGACCAGTATAGAGGTTCTGTTCGTGAGTATTATTTTTTATCAAATGAAATATATTTTTCAACTCAGATTATTTTGTTACCAATATTAATTATAAATTCAGAATGGTCATCATTAAATTGTTACCAGAAATGTTATCTATAGAAAACATCTATACTGGTCTGCAACTCCGTTATTGAATGCACGTACATTTAACAATTATCGTATCAATAATATATTTAATAAAACTCACTTTGTTTTTGCTTTCCAATGTAGCGCTGACGAAATGACGTTTTCATTTAAAAGCAAGCAACTACGCGCCGTTGATCAAGAACTTTGTTGGAATCAAATGGTAAAATATAGACAGCTCGTTTTCCCGCCATTCGAGACATCAAAAGTTAATATTAATTTTATTTAAAATCCATGCAATTTATTGAAAAAGCGAATGAAAAAATGACGAGGGAAATAATAATTTTTATTTAGAGACCTTCCCCACAAAAATTCAATAACAATTCATCGAGATAATAGCCATTCACTAGGTGATTGGAAAATTGGAATTTTTATGTATTTTCCAGTAAGTAATCGAAAAAGGGAAATTAGCCCCAATATCAAGGACAAAGGCAATTAATTCCGTTTTCCCTTTTTTGCTAATTTCTAATTTCCCTTAAAGATGGGGGGTAGCAGGCAATTTCGCAATCCTCCAGCTCATTCTTAAGGAACTGTCTTTTTTCTACATAAAGTGATTCCGGATGTCAGACAACGGACATTGAACGTATATCGAGATTATCAATTCATAAAACAAATTGTTTATTTAACATGAAAAATATAAATTTACTATATTAACATTTTTAGCACAATTGACTATTTGTTGCAAATTCCTTGAGATAGGAAAATATTTGTTAACATTAAAAAAAATTGGAAATATGCTGTATCTAAATAAATATTATATTGTTGGGGGTGTATTATGTGAAGGGGTATTAGGGGTATTAGTATTATATTAAACATTTTTCAACCAGAATATTATTGATAGATATTTTAATGTAAAAGCAATTACACTGCACATTTGTAATAAATAAATAATATAAATAAATATAAAAAAATTGGAAGAAAAATTATTAAAGTAATTTAATTTTTTACAAAGTTACAATGAAACAAACAGTTCATAAAAACAAATTTTGAACTTTAATATGAAATTAAATTGTAATTTTGGAGCAGAACATTTTTTATTTTCATAATAAAACGTACACATCCTTAACTTTGAATTCTCGATGTCCAAAGTAAGAACCATAGTATTTCATGAGGGACTGTCCACATGCTACCCCATACCCCTACCTCGTACCACGAGGTCTATACTCTAGCCCGTCTAAATTTTCTATAGGTATGCCATCTTTACAATTCTGTGGTCACGGGAGAGTTCATTAACCAATGCGAGATGAATGCGAGTAACGCGGAAGTTACTGAACTCTCCCATGACCACACAGTTGTAAAGATGGCGTACGCATAGAAAATTTAGACGGGGTAGACCTGGAGGTACGGAATAGGAGTACGGGCTAGCATGTGGAGTGTGGACAGTCCGAACAATCCCTTGCATAGTTTGACAGTTTTATCATAAAAACTTTTCTTTTGGAAAATAAGAAAAAAAATTGAATTCACTCGAAATAAAAGAAGTCATTGGCCTTGATAGCACGGGGTCCTGAGCGCAAGTATGTAGCAGCTGCAGTAGTCCAGTAGTAAGCAGTCGTATCGATAATATAGCATTTTACAAACTTACGCAGTGCGAGAAATAAATAATGTTGCGATATACAGGTAAGGTGTCCTCGTCAAAACACGCGAGGAAAAGTTGAAAAACTTGTACTGACAATAAAGAGAGAAAGAAAGAAAAAGCAAAAAACGACGCTACACGCTCGAATGATAGCCAACTCGTTGAAGCGTAAGCGATCCAGGTTTCAGCACCATAACACTCACGATGCCCGACGACGTCGATACCTGCAGCAATTGTCTCGACGACGATACTCTTAATCTCGCCGATCTACCTGTTGAAGTGAGTATGTGCTTGTTTTGAGTGGATCTGATTGAGATTATGATTTTTATCGCGATATAAACGGTGTAATAAAGATGCGTGAAAGTACGTTTGAGGAAGCGATCTGTTCGTACATCAAAAATGATAATAATAATTGCAAAATGACTAAAACTAGGACATTGCTGCTTTTTGTCTGTTTTCTTTCTCTGACATTTGATCAGCTGTTAAACGCCATTTTTAAAGTCCGTAGACTATACGTTTCTCTGCAATTGTTATTGTTTACATTGCTCAACAGCTTAACAAATCACAAAGCGCTATTATAATTTTTTTTTAAGGATTTGATTGTAAAACTGTTAAGTAATCGGTGTTAATATTTTATTATTGTTATTGTTAAACAACCATGACCTTGTTTTAACATTTTTTCATTTTTTAATAGATATTCTTGCATATTTGTTCATTCCTCGATGCTTCAACTTTAGTTCATTGTTTGAGCCTCACTTGTAAACAATTTCACACCATTCTTAATGATAATTCTATTTGGAAAGTGCGAATCAGCCAAGTATGGCCTAATGTTAAGTATCCAATCTTGCCTTATGGTGAGTACAATAAATATACTTTTTGCTTCTAGTTTAATATTTTTATTTTCAAACAATTATTTTTTACTATAAACTGTTACAGTCAGCGATGATGAGTTATTTTGGAAATTGTCTTGTGTTACTATCGAAAGACAAGCAAATTTATGGAGAAATACAGATTTATTGGAAAAAGTATGGTTAAATAATGTTCATTATAGCACCATTGATGGGCTTTTATTAATGCATGTAAGTGGACTCAAAACTCAGTATTACTGTGAATACAAAAAATCAGAATTCATAAATGAATCAAATTTATTTATAGAATGGAAATATATGTGTCTCTGGAGGAAGAGATAGAACGTTAGTATTATACCGTTTGTCATCTCAAGAAGATAGTCAGCATGATACTGTTTCCATAGGTAATGCACATGATGGGTGGATCTGGGATCTTACCGCTATTGAAAATACCATCTACAGTTGTAGTTGGGATAGATCAGTAAAAGCTTGGGCTTTAACTGAAGCTGGCTTAGAGCATGTAACAACTTATGAAATGTAATTAAAATCATAAAGATATTTTTTTATTGTAGTGAATTTAAATAAGTTATATGTACAATTATAAATTTTCTTTGAGATTTTTATTATAAATTTTAACTTGATATTGAATGATGTATTGTTGGCTGAATAGATTTGTCATCTTCTAGGATTGTTCAAAATGCTTTACTATGTGTAACTTCATGTCCAGAATTATCTCTGTTTGCAACTGGTTCTTACTGCAAAACTGTATTGGTTTTTGATCCCAGAAGTGGCCATAGTCCAATTATCAAATATCAACCACACCATAGAGCTGTCATAAGTTTAGCAATGAGCACAAACTACATACTTTCTGCTAGTGAAGATAAAACTGTGAATGTATGGGACCAAAGAGCAGGACGAACAATGAAATCAGTCACAGTGATTATCTATATTTCTGAAACATATTTAATAGATTAATATTTTTAAGTATTGATTATAATTTTTAGATTTCAAAAGAGTCGTTTCCAATGAGTATGTACATGCAGAAAGATGTTGTATACGTTGGTGATAGCGGCGCAAATCTTCATATTTTAGACATAAAGCAGGACTTTGACCCTGTGAAAAGTTACAAGACTGGACACGAAAAGAAAATTACAGGTGTTTATGCTGGTACTGGATGCTTAATCACGAGTTCCTTAGATAGGACTGTCAAAATAACAAGCCCTACTGATCCACCTCATATGTTAGCAACTCTACAGTACCGGAACGGTGAAATAGCTGGTGTAAGTGGAAATCAATTTCTGTGTGGCTTCAGTATTTTATGAAATGTTTTTATTTCAGATCGATTATCTGAACGAGGTATTGGCTGTTTCGGGTAGAGACGCTATCGAAATTTGGCGGCCAAAGACTCGAGCGAAATGTTAGTGAGTTGCAAGCGAGCCTAATATTTTAAAATATCAGACAACAAGAAACAATATAGAAACATTACTGCTTAAGATTTGTCGATTAATTGATGTATTTTACATTTGTATTGATTATAAGATCTCATATTTACTTTAACTAATTTGTGGTGTACAAATATTTATATGTCCATTACTTGAATTTATTGAAGATCTATTATATATCGTTTATAAAATATGCCTATTTTTATTTATTACTAATCCCATCTTATTTGATCAAATAAGCTGTAACTAAAACCAATCAATATATTTCTTGTACAGAATCCAGACTTTCGATGTAAATATGTTTTTATTTAATATTTGAATGTATAGAAATTGTAGTTCAATATGTAAAAAATATCTTGAAAATGCTATAAAAAATTAAACATTATAAAATAAAAATTCAGTTTCAAGCATATCGTATCTCCATTATCAAATTCTTTTTTATTATTCTTTTATTATTTTTTATATTAGTTATTATTTATTAGTTATTAGTTATTATTCTTTTTTATATTTCGTTTTTCTCTTTTTCTTTTCTTTTATTGTGTTACTTTTTTATTTTTTATTTTACTGTTTTTCTATTATATTGTTTTGTCGACTTTTGGATATAGTTTATAGCTATTCCGTTTATTTCTTTCTTCTCACTATTGTCGTTTTATTAATTATTTATACTTCTTTTTGTTTATATTATATATTTTATTATTATATTTATATGTATCTTGATATGGGTTTATGCCCGTTTAATAAATTGAAAAAAAAAAAAAAAAAAAAAAAAAAAATTTTTTAATGGATGTTTTGATCCATTAATCCAAAAAGCGAGTGAAACTACTAATTAGTAAACATTTTCACTTTCTATAACTCAGTATGAATATTATTTTTTATAAAAATAAATATCAATATTTTCCGGAACATAGATATTGAATAAAATTAGCTAGTTCATAGAGGATAGTGCGTAATAAGTAGTATATAGTTATGAATATCAATTTATAATACTTCAATCGTGTTTGTTCCGAATCGCATAAAATATTTTTTCGTTATACATCTATGAAATTGAGTACTTTTATTATTAAATATGAAAGAGACATTAAATAATTCAAACGTGTTGGCAAAACGTAATATTATTTGATTTTTCTAGAATTATAAAATGTTTAATGTTTAGTTGTAAAAGTGCCGTAATTCCATTGACCCTGAGTTAAGTGATATTAAAAATCGAACTCGGTCAGATATATAAAAGTAACTCATGTAACCTTTTCGACTTCGTTAAATGACAGACATGAGTAATGCGAACACTAACCCACCTAGATATTTTTTTCTTAGAGAACGCACTTTTCAGTAATAAGTTCAGTATTTATTGCATTATATTCTTCGAATAAAATCTGAATAATTTTTATAGTTTTACATAATGTCTTTATTTATTTTCATTTCAAAATGTAGAATACTTATTTTATATGACGTTTCCAATACTAAAGTGTACAGGTACCTTATAGTGTACCTCTGCATCGTTTCATAGGGACGTAACAATAACAATATATCGTTTTTATATATGCAAGCTATTGACTCGTCTCTGAGTTTCCAATAAATGTAAAATATGTTTTGCAGATGGGTTTCAATTAAATGAGATATCAGATGGCATATGTATTTTACTAATTTATAAGCTGTCTTTTTCTACTTTATGGTACTTTCGGATCAAATGTGAATAATCTTTTCCTATTTCAAAAATTTATTCTTTTATAACTTGTCTTTGGATAATATATTAGACAACGGAATTACTTTTTTTCAACTATCAATTACGATTGCATTAATATTTTTGTATTGAATTATGTTGTAATGTTTTACAGTATCGATCATCCTAAATTTATATAAAATCGCAACTGACACATTATAATATGTAATGAATATTATTTGTTATTTAAAAAATGAAAGAATTACATAAACAAAATTCCAAATCCAAGTGTATAAAGTTATTATGATTACTTTCATATTAACTAAAAAATAAATTTTCTTTACATTTCGGTATAGAGGAATTCAAATGTCTCAAATTCGATATAAACTACATTCAGCTCTTAACATTTTATTTACTCGGCATTATTATTGTAAAATAACAACATATATTGCGGAGCGCGTGCAACAATTTTAACAATTATCCATCAATTCCAATAAATATTCTAGAGTAGAGAGAAGCAATGATGTTTGAAAAACTGAAACGCCCGAAAGCAATAAACGCGCATGTGCAAGCGAGTGGGGGGCTTCCTGTCTCTCGGATCGACGGGGTCAGACGAGCAGGAGGCCAGCGAGGAGAGCAGTACGGCTGGCTGCGCTCGGTGCTGCTCTTGAAGAGTACTACGATGAAAATGGCGTGGCAACCGCAAGAGGAAGGACTTCGGCAGATTCTGCAACTACTACAGGAGTCGCAAAGCCCCAACACCGAGACTCAGCGTGCCGTCCAGCAAGTATCCTTTTATAAACGGCAACGGCCAACTTGTAACAACAGAATTCTCAGAAACTTGCCGTGTATGCAGACCCGCGTGCGCCATTTTTTCCAATTGATAACCCGTTTACTAAACCTCGTTTCACCCGGGTTCACGCTGTTCCTTTCCGTACGTGTGTCTGTGCGTGTATGTATGAATGAGGTAATAAGATAGACCGAGGAAAAGAAAGACAAAAGTGCAAGGCCAAAGATCTGTTTACTTGAACTTGCAACAACGATTTTTTTCCCGGTGCATGCAACTGTAAATGCACGCGCGTGTATGTCTACGTATGAATGTTTATAATGTGTATCCTCTCTTTACATTTTGGCGTGCTTATCGTATACGCTTCGAAAACGGCTTGTAGCTTCTCTTTCCCTCTCACTCTCGCTCTCTCTTTCTCTCCCCCTCCTTTTCCCTCCCTCCCTCCCTCTCTCTTTCTCTCTCTCTCTTTCGCTATCTCTCTCTCGCTCTCTCTCTCTCTCGCTCTCTCTCTGTCTCTCTCTCTCTCTGTCTCTCTCTGTCTCTCTCTCTGTCTCTCTCTCTGTCTCTCTCTCTGTCTCTCTCTCTCTCTCTCTCTCTCTCTCTCTCTCTCTCTCTCTCTCTCTCTCTCTCTCTCTCTCTCTCTCTCTCTCTCTCTCTCTCTCTCAGCTAGCGATGTCATAATCTTACCTCTTCGCCAAAATGGAAAACTGCAAGTTTTCACCATTTAGTCACGCGACGTGTTTAGCGTCTCTCTCTTTCTCGATTTCTCTTGTGTTTATTTATAAAAACACGTACACATGCGTTTTTTCCTTAATGCACTCGCCCAAAGAGATTGGAAGAGCTGAACAAATTTCCAGACTTCAACAACTATCTAATTTTTGTTCTAACAAAACTCACCTCAGAAGGTAATATTATATTATACTACTACTTGTTATATAAATATTCCTATTACTTGTTCAATTTTATAGTGGCATTATCAACATTGATTTGTATTGCAGATGACGCAACAAGGTCCCTAAGTGGCTTAATATTGAAAAACAACGTCAAGAGCCATTTCCACAAATTCCATCCCGAGGTTACAGAATTCATCAAGCAGGAATGTCTGTCTGCTGTGGGAGATCCATCACCATTAATCAGAGCAACTGTAGGAATCCTGATAACAACTATTACATCAAAAGGTAATTATATGAAGTTGAAGTGAATACTTTATTGAAAGTATTTTTATTAATAGTAGTTGTTTTTGAAGGTGATTTGTCTACTTGGCCAGAATTGCTTCCAGCACTCTGCCAAATGTTAGATTCGCAAGACTACAATGTTTGCGAAGGAGCTTTTGGCGCCTTGCAAAAGATTTGCGAAGACTCTGCAGAGCAACTTGAATCTGATACTGTTAGTCGTCCACTCAATGTTTTGATTCCAAAATTCCTGCAGTTCTTCAGACATACATCTGCTAAAATCAGATCTCATGCTATTGCATGTGTCAATCAGTTTATAATCAATCGTGCAGAGGCTCTTATGTTGCATATGGATGCATTTCTGGAAAATCTTTTCTACTTGACGTCTGATGACAATCCAGAAGTCAGAAAAAATGTTTGCAGGTTTGTACAACTCTAGAAAAATATTTATTTCTGAAATTTTATAACAATCTGAATTATTCATTATACTGTTTTTATCTTACAGAGCTTTAGTTATGCTGCTAGAAGTTAGAATGGATAGATTAATTTGTCACATGCATGATATAATTGAATACATGTTGATAAGAACTCAAGATCCAGATGATGCAGTAGCTCTTGAAGCTTGTGAATTCTGGTTGTCTTTGGCTGAGCAGCCATTATGCAGAGAAGTGTTGGCTCCTCATTTACCTAGATTAGTTCCCGTGCTTGTAAAAGGCATGAAGCATTCAGAACTTGACATAATACTTCTCAAAGGAGATGTTGAGGAAGATGAAATGATACCTGACAGAGAAGAAGATATCAGACCTAGATTCCACAAATCTAAAACACATCATCAAAATCACGCAGGGATGAAACAGCATATGGATGAGAACGGCAGCTATGATGACAAAGACTGCGATGAAGATGGGGGCGATGATGATTCTTCTCTCAGTGATTGGAATTTAAGAAAATGCTCTGCAGCTGCGCTGGATGTTTTGGCTGGAGTATTCAAAGAAGATATTCTACCTGTCTTGGTACCTATTCTTAAGGAAACTCTTTTCCACGAAAATTGGGAAATCAAAGAATCTGGTATTCTTGCTCTCGGTGCCATTGCTGAAGGTATGGATTATTTTACAATGAAACTCGCAAATCATTATATTATTGTTTAGTGAAAAAACTGTAATTGTATTTATTTATTTGCAGGTTGCATGTCTGGTATGATTCCACATTTACCAGAGCTGATTCCATATCTGATCAGTTGTCTGAGCGATAAAAAAGCACTGGTACGCTCTATAACTTGTTGGACACTAAGTCGTTACGCTCATTGGGTTTGTGCTCAGCCACATGACACTTATCTGAAGCCATTAATGACTGAACTTCTAAAACGTATACTTGATGGCAATAAACGTGTTCAAGAAGCTGCGTGTTCTGCATTTGCAACTTTAGAGGAAGAGGCATGTACAGAGTTAGTTCCTTATTTAGGTTTCATATTAGAAACTCTAGTATTTGCTTTTGGTAAGTATTATTTTCTATTTGATTTATAATCAACTAATTATAAATTTCATATCACTAATAATTTTTCGGTCACGTTACAGGTAAATATCAGCATAAAAATTTGCTCATTTTGTACGATGCAATTGGTACATTAGCTGATTCAGTTGGACGTCATTTAAATAAGCCTGATTATATTAACTTATTGATGCCTCCTCTAATTAGTAAATGGAATATACTGAAAGACGAGGATAAAGATCTGTTTCCACTTTTAGAATGCTTATCATCGGTAGCTACTGCCCTTCAGTCTGGATTTTTGCCATATTGTGAACCAGTTTACAGGTAAGAATAACTTGAAAAAGTCATGAATTTTAGTTTTGACAGTGATTTATTATGATTGATAACTCTTATTAATATTAAACTATTATTTACAGGAGATGTGTATCTTTAGTAGAACAAACTTTGAACAGGCACATGGCCTATACACAAAATCCAGAGCAGTTTGAAGCTCCAGATAAAGACTTTATGATTGTAGCTTTAGATCTTCTTAGTGGATTAGCAGAAGGTTTGAATGGGCATATGGAAAGCTTGGTAGTTAATAGTAACGTTATGCAGCTGCTGTATCAGTGTATGCAGGATCATATGCCAGAAGTTAGACAGAGCAGCTTTGCGCTCTTGGGAGACTTAACAAAAGCTTGCTTCCAACACGTACTTCCCTGCATACGTAAGTAATAGAAATTTTACTATCATTTACTATCGTTTACTAAGGTATTTAATTGACCATAATTTATCTCATACAAATTATTTGCTTCAGCGGAATTTATGCCAATTCTCAGTCAAAATTTGAATCCAGAGTATATTTCAGTTTGTAACAATGCAACTTGGGCTATAGGAGAGATTTCTATCAAACTTGGTAGGTTTCATTCGCAAGTTTAAAACCTAAAAGTTTTTTAATTTTTAACTTTTATATTTTTTGCAGGACCTGAAACAAGTACATACATCCCATTAATCTTGAACCAACTAATCGACATCATAAATAGACCAAATACACCAAAGACATTGCTGGAAAACACGGGTGAGTAATGTTTAACGTTATTGGTACAATAATTTTAATTTTGTTTAGTTAGTATTGGTTTCATTTCCAACAAATATAATTTTATTATACTTAAAACTATTTATTTTATTTCAACTTCAAGGTTTGAGATAAATTTTAATGATTTTTAAACGATTCAAATGACATTCCATTCTAGGTTTTAAAAATTACCTTCAGGACAATTAATTTAAAATTATATTTTGCTTGATTTCTATTTAATTTCATTATACGAAACCAAAAATAATAACAAAAAATCATTAGCAGACCACAAGTCGGCGTTTGTCGTTAGTAAAATTGTCTGCACGATATGAACGTAAAACGTCACCTCTATATTTAAACGTACTTAGTGGTGTGCGACCGCCTGATGGCAAAACATGTTTCTTAGCCTACCAACATCGAAATACAGAGTTGAACAGATGTACCAATGTAATAACACTTAACTTTGATTTCCGTAAGAACGATTTAGTTCAAATATTATTATTATTATTATTATTATTATTATTATTATTATTATTATATTATATTATTATTATTATTATTATTATTATTATTATATTATATTATTATTATTATTATTATTATTATTATTATTATTATTATTATTATTATTACTATGATTTATGAATCATCCCAAGCGAGCACATTTGAGCAATTTCTGCGAATATAAAAGAGAAGAAAAAAGAGAAGAAACGCCTGCGTAGCTGCTCAAATGTACTCCAAGCTCATTTGTCATAATCGTTTTTGTAAACCATGGGCTCGCACGCTGCTACAGCAAATTTTACTTATTGTTTTTCAGCAGCTACAGTAAACCGCACGGTATTGCCTATGTTCTAACTGTTGGTATTATTATCTCTCATATGTTCTCTCTCTCTCTTCCTCACACCTGTGTTTTAACATTGTGTAATTTTACTGTTGATATTAATTAATTATGGTTAATTGATTACATTGCGTATATTTTAATTCAAAGTTTTATTCAATTTTGTAAACAGCATAATTATATTCGCCTGAGTTCACTGTTGATTCGCTATCAGTTTGTCTTTATTGTTTGTGTTTCCGGTCACTTCACTACACTTCACTTGCCTACTATACCGAAAAATGAAACGATACCGTAGCCATTACGATCGGTCGTCTAGGTTATGTGTGTCCCCACGACGTCGCTCCTATGTTACAGCAGTTTGTCCGACAGTGGTGTGTAACATTTTTTTATTATTATTATTATCTTCTATTATTCTATTAATTATAATTCGTTTAATTTACATTATCAGCACCATTTATCAATTCAAATTACTATTAAGTTTATTATCTACACTTCTTTCATTCGGGGATCTTTGGAAATTCATTTAAGTTCTTTGTATACTTTATTTAGTTCACTACTGTCATTTGAATTTTCAAAGTTCCGCAAACTTGATTTCTTTAAATGTTTATTTGACATCAACATATCTGTCGCAACGTAAGTATGTTAGGGTTTTAATAACTTAAATGTCAAATTGTCAGTAAATCGTGTTAGGTAGGTTTACATTTGTTGTTTTTTCAAACAAGGCAAGCATATTCAAAGAATGTTCTATTTTTTTTGAAAAATGATTTCATTTCTGTTGAATGTCGTAGTGATCATATTATTATTATTATTATTATTATTATTATTATTATTATTATTATTATTATTATTATTATTATTATTATTATTATTATTACAGTTTTTTAGCTATTGTAATCTTGTTGTTTGACACTTGAGCGCGAAAATAACTAAATGTAAACCCGACCTTTAAGTACAAAAGAGCATAAATATGTCGAATTAAACATTTTTTATTTACCTCAAGCACTTTTTGATAGTTTCATAATAAAAATTACGTCTTTTTAAATAAGCGAACTGTAAAATACATCATCCTGTTACAATTTTGGCTCATCAAATTGTAATGTCCAATTGTGTATTAACAGGTGTAGTTCTTTGAGAAACATTCGTGACAACGAAGAGAAAGACTCAGCGTTTCGCGGTATGTGTCAGATGATTGCTGTAAATCCAGGTGGAGTAGTACAAGATTTCATCTTTTTCTGTGATGCTGTTGCATCCTGGGTGACACCTAGAGATGACTTAAAAGACATGTTTCAGAAGGTAAATTTTCAAATAAATATCTAGAGTTATGCATAATGTTATGGAGAGACTAAATTCTGTTTGAATTTCAGATCTTACATGGCTTCAAAAATCAAGTCGGAGCAGAGAACTGGAGGCGCTTTTCTGATCAATTCCCGCCACAGCTCAGTGAACGACTCCAACATATGTACGGCGTCTGAACGACCCCGCCTACAAATGGTACACTCATAGTCAACTTAACAAATGGCTATTTTTTAGTTCTTAAAGTATATTTATAAGTAACGCTAAGCAAATTACTTTCAGAAGGCCAATCCAAGGCCAAACGGGGTTGGGCGGGGATTACAAAAATAGGTGATCAGGGTGGGTGGGTGAAACCACGGCCTCTTCTCATCAAACATCGTCGTCGTTATCGAGTCATGGTCACCATGCCGGCGTCTTCACTTGTCGTCGGGCCCTCACCTGGGGACTAAGGAACAAATAATAAATCAAGAAAACTTCAAATCAGCGCGTACGCCGTACAAACGCCTGTACAGAGCGGTAATTAGGCAATCGACAAGATAGAGTAACGTGAAGCCAAGGGGTATAAAAAAATATATAAATCAATTTTAAGGAGAAAGTGTGGAGCTCTAAAATAACGCGCCCAGAGCTTACAATAGAGATGAATAATAAACAGAAACGACACAAGTATCAATTATTTCAAATTGTAAAACGCGTAATGGCCGAGAAGAATATTGGGCGGGTAGGGAGGGAGGGTGGGAAGGGTGGGCTTTTTCTTTATTACTTATGATCGTAAAAAATGATAACTAAGGTATCTTTATTGACACAATTTGGGTGAGAACAACCATTTTTTTATTGATACCTTCAGTGCGGATGTGCAACTGGATTTAAATATACGTTTTTTTAATTACTTAAATTTTTTTATGGCTTTATGTTTGTAGTAGTAACATTTTAACCAGTCTCTTCGAGGCTGTTTAATTAGTTTTGTTTTTATTTTAAACAAACTAAAACCACTCTATTCCTGAGTTACAAAAATTATCAAGAACAGACTGTAAATTCTACTTTATTTTTATTGCTACAAGCAATAAAGTAATTTTCCATTACTACGTTGTATAATCTAAAAGTTATTTTTCGTAAACTATACCAAAATACTTTTCTAATTAAAAAAACGTATATTTTAATTAACGGTTCATAAGTATTCCTACAATTATTATAATAGCTATCAAAACCACTCGAATTAGAACTGAAACACTGTCAAGTGTTTAACCCTCATTGTAATGGACAAAAAAGAAAAAAAAAATTTTTAAAAGTAAAAGTTTAAGAATCGTGAAGAAAAGCGACGGAAAGTATTGCTGGCACCCAAAATATTAGCCTAGCTGCGGTACCCCGAAGTAAGCTTCGTTAGCTCGCTAGTACGCATAGATCTCACGTTATGGAGCTCACCCAATGCTACATCAAGATCACTATTAAATTTGCTAAATTACAGATTAGCCAAGAGATTGTTATTTTTTTTCGCGATGAAACTTGTTTATTACGCTAGGGATTGCCATAGTGTCTCCGAGATTAAGGAAATATATCATTATTGCATTTGGTTTAATTGAAAGGAAGTTACAAATTTTTTAGTTAGTCATAGAATATATACTTTTTATACGTTTAAATTCAAGATATAACGTAAACGCATTAAGTGCCATTCCATTCATTTAACGTCGAAAATTTCTATCACCTAACTTCTTGTGATACTAGATTACGTGTGTTTATTATGAACTTACATTGAAATTTATTTGTAATAATGTCCGGAGGTAATGTTTTACAGGAAGACCACTATGCGATTGTTAGTCTTTTCCTTCTATACTCATGTACATTATATTATTTTATTTTTTTTAAATTATTTTCTTTATGTCAAAGCAAATTGTATTATTGTAAATATAATTAAAGTTTTAGAACAAATTTGTTTGAGTAATGAATTTTCCGCAGTTTATATTTTTGTTCAAATGGTTAGCTCTGATCAGATAGGATGTCAATTTGAGCTATGACGTGAAATCTATGAAACTCGCTAATTTCTTTTTTTAACTGTATAACAAACAATCTATACTTTATTTGAGACTCTAGTAGTATAAACATCAAGTCAAACATTCGTTGATTTCAACATCATTAAAGAGTCTTAAAACAGCAGCACATATACGTATGATGTCGTCGACATTTCAAATTATTGTTGAACTCAACAAAAACATACAATTTAATACAAGTTGTTCGCGACAAAATGCTGGTTTCACCGTCTGATATGAAAATATTTCGGAAAAACATTTATTTACAAAGTTCTATGAACGGAATGAATGCGTTTAATTTTATTCCTCTATCTTACCATTGAATATAAGTGTAATAAAAAGTCACTTTTGAGCGTAACGGTTTTTTGCGCAAATCACTGGCTGTCGATAAGTCATTGTTGTGAATAAAACTAAAAAGTTAAATTATAAATTTACTGACTGGCAGAGATATTTTAAGCTAAAGCGGGCGAGATGCATTGGTTAAACGGCATTAGTCGATTGCATAAGAAACGTAGTTTGTGTTATTATGTAGAGTACTTAAAATCAGTTAACTCATTTATAAAATGAATTTTATTTGCCTACGCATGTAGTGTCTTAATATAGAAGTCAATGCTAATTTTGTTAGAATTGAGATAAAAATACTATTGTTTTCTAGTAATTAGAACTACGAACGCACATCTAGTGTAATCAATCATTTTGAAGTTTTTATACAGTATGCTCATTTTTCGTTGCTCGCGTACAATACTGAAGACAAAGCATCGTGTGATGATACGAATGACTCCACGACGATCCCATCCACATTGTTCAAATCTTTGGCACATTCTTATTGCCAAAAATATTCAATGATTGTTCCGTATTTTTTATCGCCGGCTCATTCCCAATTCTGCCTGCACCAAATTTTTGTGATATTACTACTTTTTATATTACTTAAGAGCCAGTAAACGTCGTATTAGTAAAGCCACATGTTTTTTATAAATGAAAAAAAACTCGTCGATAAAGAAACTTACCCTCAATATCTTTGTACGCACGGTGTTAACGGTAACTTGTTTATTTTGTTTATCTTTTTAAAAGACGACGGATTTTAATTATTGAATGTAAATACGTAAATGTATTTTATAACATTTCGCACAGATAATGTCAAATCAAAGCTGTTGTAATCGCGATTCTGCCATATGTATTGGGCGATATTTAGAATCGTAAATAGTGTTACCGAATTGTTCTCTTTTGCATTTCATTTTTTCTCTCAATTAAACAAGCGCGCGCGGATCAGTGACAATCGATTTTTGCATCGATTTTTCTATGAAATACTTTACATATAGTTCCTAAGCCCGACTTGTAAGAAAAACTTAAAAGCTCTTGATGTTTCTTCGTTTACTCGTTGTTTATGCTATTGATAAATGTAATATTTCACTTGGAGACTCTTCTCAGGTTGCCATTAAATTTTTTACTGCAAGATGTTTAGAAAAGTGAAATCTCGATATTTTTTAATAATTGTCGAGTGTAAATACATATGATAAACAAATTTAATTGCATTTCCATCGAGGAAAATAACTTGTTCATTCCACCGGGGAATCATTATATATTGCAAAAGTCAAACATGTGGCTTTCTGTCGATGCGAGACAGGCTCGTATGTAAAACTCAGTCAAAGGAAAATGCAAAGATTGTGAGGTGATTGTAAAATTCTCTACTTATACATAAATGAATATTAAATATTGAGAATATTATGGTTCGGAATATATATTCGCGTAGATGAGATTGATTAATTTGAGGACGTATGATAAATAAAATTTTTTCGAAAGTTATTATTTTTTTGTAATATTCCATAAGCGCGAGAGTAAATGTTCGATTAAAGGGAAGACGTGTGTTCATTGCAATATTATATGAAATTTCATTCATGGGGAATTTCGCATATAGTAAAAGAGAATTTAAAAATAAAAAACGTACCGATAAAGTACATAAACGATTAAAACGACCGGCACATGAGTAAATATATTGTTGTATTTTTATTATTATTGTTGTTGTTGCATGAAACTAGTGTAATAGACTGAGCCATTCAAGTGGTTAAATAACTATTAACATAATATTTCTTAATGTTATATTATTGTAATTATTATATATGGTGTGTATTATCTTAATGGTAACTTTCGTGCTGGCAGCTTTGGGACGCGAGAATTTTCGCTCTTTAAAATGAAAAAAAAACAAATCGTATTTCTGTGATTTAAGTTAAAGTAATTTTTTTTCTAAATATTTTTTACTTCTTATTTATCATGACATAGCATAGATTAAGAAGTTAGTAGAAAAGTACACGAGTTTTTGTTTTTCTTTTATATATATATATATATATATATATAAATATATTATATACGTATAATCTATCGCATAAACTATGAAAGGATTTTTTGAAGAGCGAGTATTGACGGGCCGTTCCTTGTACCTGACGTCTCCCATCCCAAGGTCTTGAGAGCATCGTTTCCACGGTGTTGTTATTGTCTTTTACTTTTATTTTGCGAACTTTAGCTGCGATTATCTCTGTCCAGTTCAAGCAGTCGATCTTAGGTCAAGGTTATTGAATTCTTTCTTTACTTTTCTTCAATCACCTCTTCGAGTTGTTAGTTAAAATGCAATCGCGATCTCGATATCAGTTTTGTGGAAGAAGGAAAAAACGCACGCGACGATTGATCGAAGTGTCGAGAGGAAAAGCGAAGTATGGAGTTTTTATTGTCAAAACCTTTAGGTAATTGGTAAATTTAATTGATCGTTCATTATATCTGACTATTTTACTTTGTGTCCACTGATGAGACGCGAACTTCGTCAAGTTTTTGACATTAACGTTAGTTCTTTATTTTTAAGTGCATAGGATTTGTAAAGTCGTAGTTGAAATTATAAAAAATAAATTAAAAGTCATAAAACGTTCATTTTTTAGAAAAACGTACGATATTAATGATACAAAAAAAGATTCTTTTGCGTCTACAGGTATTGTTTACGCGAATGGAATGAATATTATGGATACAAGGTACATGCATAAGTTTTCAAATGAAACCGGTATTTGTAATTGTGCCAGTTTTAAATTAAAAAAATATTTTTCAGAAGAATACTTTTTAAAAACTAGAAAATATTTTTGTCAGGAGCAAATTATTTGAAATTTCATATCGTTTATTTAATGCAACGAAATTTTCATTTCTAAAAAATAAAAAAATACATTCTTGACAGTACATGGCCTATTTTTTTCATAGATCAGAACCTTTCATTCATCCCACTCCTGTACAAAATCCTACGAAGTCGAGAAAATAATGTTTCTATATTACATGTACTTTGAATTACCCACATTAGCATATGCAAAGAAGATAAATAAAAATTTTGAATACTCTCGGTATAGATTTGATTAATAGTACATTACGACACAAGTGCGGAAAAATAGATTCTTGTTTCGTGTGTCATTTACGAGAAGCATACATTTACGAGCGAAGCGAGAAACACATGACGAGAAACTCTTTCTCGAATATGTGTCGTACGTAATTTTTTGATAAGCCGTATGGAAAGTGCGATTTTCGACGCACGTTTTCTGCTAAGCGTGCGGGAAAGACGTACTTTGCGCACATAGTGTTGATACATTATTAATGTATCTTTAGTCAAGATTTCTTCAATAAATTATTTTTCTATCTTAAATTATGATGA